CACAATTATATAAAATAGTGTCTAGATCAAAGGGGATAAATGATAACAATGAGAACAAATACACTAATCTCCATAATAGTATCACTTAAAGTGTATGTGAATGAGCGGCAATTAAGAATGTGAATGTTTTCGAAGGATGGTGTTTGTTTCGCTTTACCAAGGTGTTAAGAGGTGTGCAACTGTCTCCCTTTGAACATGGAAATTGAGTTTATTTGATAACAATGACTGAGTAAAAGTTTGTATTTGTGTAAGTTACAGCGTGTTTGAAGTGAAGTAGCTCTAGCGTTTCACACGAAAGCCTAGTTGGAGCTTCTTGTTTGTTCATCGCTGTAAATTTATTGTTGCTTTTTTGTAAATTTGTGATTTGCTCTTGCAAATCTGAACGAGGTTAAAGTTTGAGGCGTCAGTTGTTATATTATGTGACCATTTATTCTTCCTAGTAGATATCCCAAATTTTCAGTCTAAATATTCATGTCTAGATATGATTTGAGGAAGTGTAGTTTGCACTTTGGTTTCCTTTGCTTTTTAGTGATTTGTTCACGTCACTCCGAGTTCAGTTTTTAATCAATACTTTTGTGCTTACCAGTGATGTTTTACAATATTGATGATTTCGTTGTACGCTTGGAATGACTCAACTTGTTAGTGTGCTTATCAACTTATCAGATTATTAAGCATACGAAAATCAACAAACTGCACACTATATCTCTCATGCTTAGTAACTCTGGTCAGCTTTTATTTAACATTTGATTTCCCTAGACAGATGGGTTACATGCTATCCTAGCTTTGGCTATCTTACATGAATTTTTCCAGTTTACGTGTAAATTTATATTCTATTCCGTTAACTATTATATAAATTATTATGGTGATAACTATCTGTTTTATTTTTCACTCAACAGACAAAAAGAAATCTGTATCAGAAGTTAAACGAGTAAGTTTTAGCTTTCGTTACATCTTTTCAACTCTCATCATTTGTAATGTAAACCTTAGTTCTAATTGGTCATAGTGAATGTGATATAAAATACAAACTTAAGTATTGATTATAGATAGGATAAACTTAGTGAATTTTTATTATAGATTATCTGTGCTTCGTTTGTATATGCATGCTTCATTTTCTCAAATCATATGTCTTTCACCTAAAAGCAAGTAAATTGAATTCCTCTTTTCTGAGATCAAATTAGGTTACTCCTTTTGTCAAATTATTTGATTACATGATTATCTGATTACTGGAAAGGAGAGAGAGAGAAACGATGAAGAAAGTAGAGTGCCTTGAATCCTATTTCTACAGAGGGTGAATTATGTGAGTTAGTTGATTTGCTTAGTTAGTTCAGTTTAGTTTAGTATAGTCAGTTTAGTTCGTTTAGTTTGGTTGGTTTAGTTAGTAGTAGTTAGTTGTTTAATTGGTTAGTATCAGTTTATTATTTAGTAGTAGTTATTTATTTAGCGATAGTTAGTAGTTCTTAGTTATTTGGCAGTTGTTAGTTAGTTTGTGGTAGTTGGTTATTTACTAGTTGTAGCAGTAGTAAATAGATGGTGTTTGATAAAAATAAATAAATAAAGATTTACTAAAATATATATGCATGAATAAAATACGAAATAAAATGGAAACAAAGGTTCAAAGTACCTGATTAAGGCCGCGGTAAAGAGAGTATGTACATGTTTCTTTTTAATGCACAATTGAGGTTCGAAGCTGTGAATCGCCAAAGCTTTGGTTGCACATGTTTATAATCCTTACCCATTTTGGACGGTTCGTCGAACTTTGTACGAGGTTTCGAGAGGAGCCATATTTCCAGAGTTTACCAGATGTTCAACGATGGAGATGGTCTTATGCCGACCCTTCAGTATACAAGCTGGGTAATGTTCGCGAGGGCGTTTTTCAAGCGAGCGCATAGTACGAACGACATACTCAACTCCACAGGTGCAAGTGGACTTGTCGGTATCATGAGTTTTAGAAATTTATGGTCCTAGCTGTTCACCTCACAAGAAACGCAGTCAGCTGAGTAGTTAGACTTAAAATTTATTTGACAATGAAGTCATAATTTTCTTATTGGTCATGGGAGCGATGTACAAAAATGATATCAATTAACATATGTCTTAAAACTTGTGCAGTATCCTGCAAATTCCATCCGTTCTAAGATTTTGAGCAACTTTGTTCTGAGGGCTTTTCTTCGTTGTTTTCTATATCGTCTGCTTTTTTTTAATCGCTGTTGTTAACGTTGTCATGTGTTGTGTCCTGAATATGCTTTCCAGTTTTCTCTTTTGATTGGTAATCACGAAGCGGTATTTCCTGATCCGATGATGTACATCTGTTATCAAACGAATGGTGAATGAAATCGAATGAAACATTCCTTCCTCGCTTCTACGGCAGACCAAAACTACGCAAACCAGACATCCATCTATGACCAATAGTCTCACTTCTGGGAACTCCAACAGACAACATTTCAAGAGAACTGAAACACCTGGTTCAATCTTGTGGACATTCGACCAAATCACCAACAGAATCCTTAGAAAAGAAACAAAAACATTAATATAGAAAACGACGAATTACTGTTCTTCGGAGTCACAACACTATACACTTCCATCGAAACCCAAATGGTCAAATAAACTATGTCCCTCCTGATCACTGAAGACACGAGCCTTTCAGAACGCACAAAAACTTAAATGTTCTATTCTGATGGGACTCATCGACTTTTGCCTGACAACACACTTCCAGTTCAATGGCAAAATGTACAAACAGATGAAAGGAACTCCAATGGGGTCACAGATATCCGGACTAATTGCAGAAGCAGTAATGCAGAGACTGGAAGCCGTCACCCTACCTGTGATTAAACCAAAAATTTGGATTCGCTGTGTAGACGATACTTTCGTCATCACTAAAAAAGATGATATAGAACACACTCACAGTTTGATCAACAACGTTTTCAATGACGTCAAATTCACAATGGAGGAGTCAAACAACCAACTACTATTCCTGGATGTTTTAGTCAGTAAAACAAATCCCGGAAAGCTGGAAACCCAAGTGTACAGGAAGCCAACACTGATCAAATCCTCAGCTACAGTAGCAACAACCCGACAGCACACAAAATTTAGTGGAGTTTGTTTGCATTCAATATACCAAGTCTCATACATATACTGTTATTTTTCGGTATTCGATTATATGACTGTGCGTTGCAATTCAGTTGATCTCAGAATACCTGGTGAGATGGCCAGTGTGTTTATGATAAATGGATTCACTTGGAAGTTGGATCAGTTCCTCGGTGATTGGAGTAAAGTTAAGTCCTAGTTGCCGGCTGGGTCTAATAACTCAGTTGACATTGCTGAGCTGGTAATTCGGAGGCCACTGTTTCGAGGCCTACTGCGACGCAGGTTTTCAGTTCCCCTTCAATCACTGATAATATCAAAAAGTCACGTAGACATATACTGTTGAAAAAGGTTTCACGAAGTGAGGATACTTCTAATTAGATTAAACGTCCATGTGCGATTTAGTTAGTAAGTAATACAGTGAATGAAATTTGATATATTACCGACGATTCAAGGACTCAAAAGAAAAGTAAGCTTATCATAAAATAGGAATTATGTTGTTGTTATTTCTAAACACGAGCACAAAGTTTACGTCTTTCTTCAATATTTTAATAACTTGAAGTTAATAGTTTTCGAGTATAATTCTTTGGGAGCGATTTGTTTCTCTTATGGTTTGTGATCTGTGAGAATGATGTTCCATTTTATTCTACTCAATCGCATCTGGGTTCGAATTTTGCTACAATTCAAATTTTATTCGCACTTTAATCATTCACACTGATATTAGTTCGTAAACTGAGGCTATCTCAAACGGCTTCAGGAAAAAGTTAATGCTTTATCAACTTATATTTAGACACTTGATTTGATCTCCGCTCTTCACTCTCATAATTTTTCTTTTTCTTTCTACTGCAACTTTCAGTTAGTTTTACAAGATGGCATGAAACAGTACGCGGCACGGTTATTCGATGCCATACGTCAGAGTGAAGCGTTGCACAATATCAGTCCTGGCATAGGTAATCAAATCTTATCCGATGTCTTTTTAAACGCCTATATGCTCTTATGTACTGTTTGTTTCCATCGACTTCTTTATTCAAGCAACTAATTTTTCAGCCGATGCATTCACGCATAAGTATATACAGTCAATTTATAGAAATGTATTGTGTTCTTGCATTCCGTTCCACATCATCTTGTTGTATAATTTGCAGTTGTTAAAGTTTGCCTGTCATTTCCTGCTGCAACTGGTGCCAAAGCTTGCGTTTACATTACTGCCATAATACTTCATGCTGAATTTTGTTACCGACGTTCCCAGTCCTATGGCGTATAGGATTTATTTTTACAGCAGCAATATAGGTTGTGGAATATATAGAAAACGCAATATGCGGTTTGTCTTTTTGCCATTTTTGACAAATATGGCAAATTGGAGGAACAGAATGCACAGGATAATCTTGGTGTTTTTAGAAGGTTATGCTGTTTCGTTTCTTTGTAATTCACTTAAAAGCATAACACGATTACATTACTTTTTTTAAATTGATAAAGCTGAACCATTGATTCAAGAAGCGTCGTTTAAATTAATAATGGCAGAAGCGAACGAAGTATTTTTACAGAATTGGGTATCATATTGTCAGTCATTCGATCGTAGTTTAAAGTTGAACAACTCCATTTATTCAATATTCCTAAATGGCGTTCAAGACAATTGTATCGTGCAAAGGAAGAATATCTCCAGGTACTTCCGAGTTTACAGATAATTCCGGAAATTAGTTTATATCCTTTGATCATACTTTGTATGTTAATATAAGTGTAAAACGTGGGCACTGTGGTAAAATATAATTCCATATTAAATTTGTTTATGTGATTTATAACACACAGCGATACAGTATTATTGACTTGACGGTTCGAGCACAAACTAATGCTCATAATCCTATAAATATGATATGATTATGAGCAATAATTTATGCTCGATACGTCATCAAGTCAATAATACTGTATCACTGTGTGTTATAAATCAATTAAACAAATCTAATTTAGAAAGCTTTATATAGTTTTATTGTTCCAGTTAGAATTTGTTGCATAATTTGACTGGTTGATTCCATGAGAAGAGTAATTATTATCTGTTACTATACTGCAGACGTGTTATACTCTGCGGTATTATATGCTCTTTGCAGTAGCACTCGACTGATAAACGATGCGTGGCAGTGTTTCGATACATTGTTATTATCAAGACCTACATTTCTGATTTTTGCTCCATTGGAAAGAATTAGTCAGTTTTCGAAAACGTATGTGCTTTTGTATAAATGCTCCTTCATGTTTTCGATCATATTCTGACGTCAATTCTGGAATTTAGGAAACGTGTTTCATGATATTTCGTACTCATCATTTCAATGTGTCTGCTTTCGTTTGAGGACCTCATCCTGCACCTGTTGTTTGAAAAGTGAAAATGTAGTGGTTTTGGATGCTGAATCATGAAATAACTGCTACCCTATCATATTATTGATATGCAGCCTGATACAATGAGCAACATTTGTTGCGTAAAGATCCATAATACGGAGTATTTTCGCTAAACCATTAGGAGTGAAGCTGATTTCCAAGCTGTGACCCATTGATTAGGACTCGTGCGTCCAGGTCATTGAAATCGTATTTAAGTAGTCAAAGTTTGTGAACTGAGGGTATAATCTTTTAAAAGCATTTATTTTGACATATTTTGTTTTTCACAATCTTTTAGGTGCATAAATTCGATATACATGAATATATCCTATCGAAATGCATTGCAAATGGGTTAGAACAATATGCCTTTCTAATTGGTCGTGACTTAACATTTTTGAAAGATGTAAGTACTATCGACTTTTATGTAAGAATGATGCTAAATCGTATCTTTTTATAGATAAGTTAATAAAGTGTTATTTTATAACACATCGAAAAACATCAGGTTGTTCTTTTTTTCATAGTCTGTTGTACAAACTTGCACATGGTTACTAACTTTTATACTGCTTCCTTAAGGTAAGCGAATAAAGGAACATGATTACAGTGAAGAAAACTTTTTCATTTTGACGACCTCGTTCTCTTAGGTGTTCATTCGTCAACACAGTGGAAAATTTACATTCCAGAATAACATTTGAATAGACTAATATTCGTCGTGTGTTGATTTAGTTATCTCATGAAGAGAGTAAGGTTGACTTAATAAACTAGTACTGATTTCATTTGTGCGGTGCGAAGGCCATTTTGCATTTTGCTACTAAAATTCTCGCAATGTAGAACGTGTCGTATTTTAATCTGGGTATGGTATAAAGCCTTTTTTTGTGTCACTGGCAAGCGTAAATGACTTTCCTTTTTTGTTTTCATTTTAACCCACACCATTGTCAGTAAACTTGGAAAATGCAGCGTTCACATTCTTTCAGATTATATTGTGGGCATCCACTTACATCTCTCCAAATATATATAAAATTTCGTAATTCCGTATATATATCGTCAACTGTCCATTTGCTTTATCTGATATACAGGTTTTATTTTCGTTTGGTTATTTCAGCGTGAATGTTTATTGCGCGACCAAATATTTAAAAGTGCCAGATTTCCTGATGAACAGTTTGTTTTTCAAGTCCCAGGAAGATGTCTTCGAAATGTTTATGTTTACCGTGAAGATTTTAGTTTGCCTTATCGTTATCAACTTGTAGACACAATATTAATCAGCTGTGATCCGAGTGATGATTCCAATAGCCAAGTGCCTAAAATTATCCAACATATTAGGCGGAACACAACAAAGAATCACAATTCTGAATTGATCCGCTTAATGTATCGATTTCCACTCAATTCCTCCGCTATCAGAATGTCAAAGGCAGTCGAAGGGGATGGTTTTCAACCCGTTGACAGTTTTGTTCCCTATAATGCTGCCGCACCAAACACAGCACTTTCAAATATGTTGAACCCGCCTAGTCATCAAAATCAACCTTTGCTAGCCTTTAAAAATAGTTTTAGGGAAGTAAGTTCTTGTCATAATTTTCAAATTTACTTCAGAACTGATTTGTTGTGTAAATGGATTCCAGTTGACAGTTTTGTTCCTAACCTATATGTATATTATTTTACTAGGATTTTACCAATTCTGCGTTAGCACATTAGTCTTATTTCATTGGTCAGATAGGTACGGGAAATAGCTATTTATTCTCGCCTATTATGCACTGAAAATATATTTTTTTGGGAGAAGCAAGCAGTCAGAAGACTAAACATCTTTGTCAGTAAGCATTTCTGAAGTATTTCGTTGATGTGGTCAATATTCAGGGTGGATGAAATATTATTAGTGAAGTAATTCAATTAGTCAAACAATTCGCAAACTGGACTAATTCAGATAACAGAATGACTGAAGTTTGCTTCAAATTCGCTAAGCTACTTTCTATTCTGAAACTAATCGTTAACCTTGAGTGGGAGTAGATTTGAAGGGATTTCAGGATGATACTGTTTTATGTTGATACTGACTACCCTCTAATATAAACATGTTTCTACCTGATGTAGTCCGACATACTGTTGGTAACTGCTTATCGAAGTATATGTCAATCTGAAAATGTTATTAGCTATAACTTATGTATTAAGTATTTTCACTCTTTAAAATGCTTTGTATGTAAAAAGCAACATTATTTTCTGTATTCTTGCTTTGTATTTTAATGGTACTTATTAGCGGGCTTTTATGGATTGCTCGCGGTCTGAGTTAATTAGCATATAATAATCGGTCATCTACTTTGAGATTACCAATTGGGTTGGAATTGTTATGCATTAGCGTTAAGCGAGGGTAGAGACTACCTATGCTTTTGAATTTGAGGCTTTCTGTTATTAGCTTCAAAAGTTTCTACCCACTTCCTTCTAAACAGCTGTTTGGTGTCATCAGTGCCTGTAAAATATGTGTAACAGTGTTTGCTTACTCACTTGTTTCTGCTTTTTTTTAAAGCAAAACATCTCTTATGGTTTGGTAATATATTCATTCTGTACTTTACATAGATGGGTATGTACTAATATTTGACTACGTCTACTCGAAAATCCCCATTTAGACCTTTAGAAAACAGCAGTTCGAGTAAAGAAATATCTCTTCAATTACCCCTGCATCTGTAACTTTACGCTAATAGCACTTTGAAATTACAAAATGACATACCAGTTATGTTAACTCACAACAGATTATCAACCTCAAGTTGTTAAGGGATGATAATTAATTACGGAATTTACGATAGTGCCTAAGCAATAAGATAATTACATAGAGAATCTATGAATCCTTTAACTAGATGTTGCGTAATTGATAGTTTGTTTGTTAGTGATTAGAAAAAGGGAGAGTGATTAGTTCTGTTAAGCGGTAGTTATGTGAAAATAATTAGAGAGGAAAGGAAAAGCGTGAAAGTAATAACGCCAATAATGATGGTAATAGTTTGTAAGATGAACAACTGAAAGCGTCATCTGTGCATGTATAAGTCATGCACAATCACCAAACTAGAGAAAGAAGCTGCACAAATTCCTTTGAAAACGCGGCTTCGGCTTGTTCAGGTGGATCTAAGGGGTTTCTGGTGTATGTAGAAGATGAATTCGTAAACCATCAGTGAGGGTAGAAAGAATGTGATAACTAACTTTAACGGCATTGTTAATATCGACTCAGTGTCAATTATTAACCAGATCCCACAATATGAATCTACGTAATGGTTTTGTCTGTTGTCTACTTAGCCAGGATAGGTGATGTTTAGAAATTCGATGACGGATCGGTCTAAGCATGAGATAAATGTAACTGGCTCCACAGAAGCGATTGAATTACTAAATACACATGGAATAGGCGAAATCAGGCAATTCGTCTTTTGTCCCTGAAGTCACTGATCGATTGCCGAATATACAGCATAACTTTGCTGGTAGTTTATAAGATTGTAAGCCATGTACATCTATCTGATGATGAACATCTCATTGGTTAATGCAAATTGACCAGACATATCGCTTCAAGCTATCACTATATGCTGAAATAAACGATGTGCTCCGCTACCACACAAGTGACTTTTTAAGTTTATGTGGTTGTTTTAAATCTTCTGTATGACTTTTTTGTTACAGTTACTTCCTAGTGGTCTATTTTTTATTCTACTTTATGCATGCTTAATCGTATGGAGTTAACGTTGTCAAGATTCTGTTGGGATAGGTCTTGAATTGATTGTTCCGTTGTGAATTAGGTTATTATAGTTTTTTGTTTACAATGTCTCTAGTCTATTCCATTATTTAGCTGGAATTCCATTAATTTCAGGTTTCTTGGTATTTGTTTTCAGTATTTCCGACTTATTTGTGTCCGGTAGGTCACTTGGTTGTTAACTGTCCTCATTGTACGTTTGACGTGTATCCCAAAATAGGGGTAATCGTACTTTATGAACTATAATAACTGATGCTGGTTTCACAAGAGGTGGCCCCAGCAGCTTAGTAGATAACGCTTTGGCCTTAGAAGCGTCTAGTGCTGGTTTCGAGTCTCAGTGAGGACGAGATTACTCACTAGTATGCAGGTACATCCAGCTGACGAGTCCCTAATCAGACGAAACGTGCCTTTTGGACTCCACTGCTGGCCACCACCGAGAAACTTACAACTTAATGAATCAGCATTCAACATCAAGACATCTGTATTGGAGTTCACATGCCAAACAGGGTTGATCAGTTTGATTCAGAATAACAACGGGGAATGTTCAATTTTTTCTGTGCCTTAGGATATGTAAACCTAGTTTACTGTTTCGCACTTTGTTCTTTCCCACCTAACTTCGTTTTACATTAAATGTCAACTATCCTAAGCTATATAGAGCTGATTTCTAAACTTTCGCTTCCTGAAACATTTTGGATTTTTGTATAATTTCCGTCTACGATGTCCATATTTTGATTAGACGTTTGTTTCCTCCGCAATAAAATGTTTCTATCCTCAAAGTTGTATGCGACGTTTCTTTCTACGGTAATTATTATTTTTGTTGATAAAAATAGGTGAATAGTTATCCGGAATCAACGTACGTTATGCAGTCTACATTGGTATTGAAAGCATCAACACGTTATTTTATGTGGCGTTGGCTTATTTTCTTCCTATGCACTTATTCCTGGCTTCTTCGTTCAGCGCAATATTTTTTTGTGAGTTTAGAAATCCATATGTTTTCTCAGTTTACCCTTATTTCGTATGGATGATGCACTGAATGTTTCTTACCGGTAACGAATCTAAGTGTTCATGGGAAAATGAATTTAAATTAATTCTTAAGAGAATGCTTTTTTAAAATGAAATATAAAGCATACTTAATCACTTTGAGTTGTTTATTCCTGGTTACTTATCAGTGATTAGCTTAAGTTGTCATAGACCTCGGATACTAGATGTGGTAGACTTACTGTTCTATGTTCATTCAGTTGGGTTGAAAGTGAATTCTCTTTTCAACTCTTTGTAGTTCCCGCACACAATGAAAGAGGTGAATTTACAAATCATTACTCATGTAAACGGTCAGTTAGAGCGTTCTTACTGCTAGTAAAGCTGTACAGGGGAGCTAACCCAATCCTCTGTGGGTGGGACTGGAAGCGAACCTCTGACCTATTGGTAATTAAGTCCGATAAAACCAACATTTAGTGCACACGTTCCCTCTTAAAAATATTGTGTTTCTGCTAGTTATTTATGAGAGTCATAGTTGGTTGAGGTCATTTCACTAGTCCTAATACACTAATATCAATGACACTTATAGCTTTGTTATGCTATTTTAACTTATTAACAAAAATTTTTACATTATCTGTAGATGTACTATTTCTTACTTCAGAGAAAATATCTCGCCGACCCTGTTTTTCATTTTATGATTATAAATTGTCTCAGAAAATGTATCAGCTCTGTAGGCGATGCATTTAGTGCATACCTTTAAGAGTTGTTTCCTCCATCGTTTTTCTATTTCAGGACTTTAATTCAGGCTTTTAGTGAATTAGGAAAACGAATTCGTAATAAGGTTGGAATGTTAGAAACTTTTAGTGATAAACAGTAATTGGATACTGTTTGTCAGTATATCAAGATGTCACTATGATTTGACCGCACTTTCTCCGTTTTTATCCTCTCCATTAGTCATGGATTAGTTCTTTAAGAATTATGTCACACTTAATAGAAGTAATAGTGATGGAGGGATAAATCTTTTTCTCCTGCATTTTTTAGTAACTACTTGCCTCTTGAGATTCGGCGTTTGAATTTTCCAGCGTGCCAGATGCAATTGACTTGCACCATTAAGGTACGGAGGAATTTATTGTATATTTCTGTTCGTCGCCAATGTTGGCTGTTGGCGAAGTGTTTGCTACTTCTATAGATGCATGATTTCTTATTCTGTCACAAGATACCACTAAGAGTGATCTTTGATATACACATAACGTTTGAGAATTACAATAGCGGTAGTAAGAGAATCTCATTTTATTTAGTAATCTACCGCTTTACATATAGTTAGAAGTTAAGTTTAAAGTGGGGATCAGTACTCAGTTTTTTCTTTGCATTTTGGTCCTTACTATCAGTCAGCCATTTTCTCCATTTTTTAGGTTGTAATCCCTCTCCAATCTTGTTTCAGCTTTACGGTATTGTTCAAACGAACACCACTCCAAAATGTATACAAAGTCGACAGAAATTCGGTAAGTTTTGTTTTCTTCTCTGATGATTCACTGAAATTTTACATCCGTTGTTAGTGAAAAGCATGTTTGAAAGAGAATGAGGTTAAATGACTGCAATTTAGTCATAATTTCTCTTTGAAGTTAAGGAATGTGAAGTTCCGGATTTAGCTGGGCGAAGTGAGAAATATTCCTCGAGTGAATATTTATTTTCGCTCACCAAGCTACTCAACGTTAGTAAGTAGTAAAGTAAGATTTCTTCGAAATATTTTATACCCCTATTGCGGCAGCCAACATCTATACCAGCAAACACTTGTTACCATTGTGTTTATTCGACTTTCATGAATGATGTGTATTTTCAACCTGGAGCTGACTAATTTTCTCTCACTGATCGTAAACCGTGTCACACAGTGCTGCGATCAGATACAATATGACTGAGTTCTTGGGGCTGCGGTTGACCTCATATAGTACGGGATCACTAACTAGTTCGCTATGAGAGACTAGGGTTCAGAATCTCTGAGATAGTATCAACTTTTTTCGTGTTTGCGAATGTGCCCTGCTGATGAGCGTGAACAAGCACCTAACCTATGTTCATAGTTTCTTTGTAATTACCTTCAACCACCTAAGACAAATCGCAGCGCACCACAATGATGAGTTTTCTAGTTTAGTGACCTCCGCAAAATAATTGATGGAATTCAGCTAGATCTTATGACTAGACACCATGAAATTAATTGTTTGTCAGTGATCAGTTTCATAGACAAAAGTTTATGCGAAGTTAGAGAACGAATGAATGGAAATGGTGAAGATATTCACTTATGAAGACAAAAGTACATCCATCCATACCATTGTGAGCAATTTTTTCCGATAAAGTACCTCTTCAAGCTTTACTCCAATACAAATAGCTTTATATATATATATATATATATATATATATATATATATATATATATATATATATATATATAATTAAACCAATCACGCAGATTTGTCGGTTAATGTGATAAATGTTTAAAATAGCGATGGTGATAAGGAAAATAATAAGAATGATGAAAGTGATAACATTGACTAAAGCACTTGCAATATAGATGATAATGATAATAAAAACTAAGAAAGCTGCATGAAAATGTAAACAGTCCGATAATAAAAGTGGGTCAAAAGCTTGGAGTATCTACATTTTCATACAGATTTCTTGGTTCTTATCATCACTATCGTCTATGTTGCAAGTGCTTTAGTCGATGTTATCACTTTCATCATTCTTATTATTTTCCTTATCACCATCGCTATTTTAAAACATTTATCACATTAACCGACAAATCTACATGATTGGTTTAATTATATATATATATATATATATATATATATATATATATATATATATATATATATATATATATATATATATATATATATATATATAGCTATTTATATTAGAATAAAGCCTGAAGAGGATCTAACTGAAAACAGTATGGTTCCCTTATGTATCTTGTTCTAAGATAAAGTACCAACGTCTCTTACTAACCATTCCTATACATTCGACCGTCGGATCAAAGCAGCTTACATTTCCCGAAACAGCTTGGATCAACAATTACAGACTTTTTAGGTTGGTGCGACATGACATAATATTTTGAAAACCATTTATTTCGACTCACTAGATATCCTTGCATGAAAGTGATGCTATTATTAAATTAGGAAGTGGGGTAATATTTCATATTCTTACAATGTCTTTGCTTCTGTATTCATTGGGCATGCTTCTTATTTTCGGTTTGTTGCATTCACCTTTTCTAAAATTGTTTTCTCTATTTATTTAGGGTTATGTGTATTATGACAAACAATATTATGTTCATACTATAATCAGTTTTCTACATCACATGTGGTCTACTCTGCACCAAGCTCGTAGAAATTTTGACCTTCGCTTATCACCGGCGTTAACTTATCACAGGTTTATCATGCGACCAATTCATTGGGTATGGGTATACATTATTCGTGGTCTGCTGATAACCATAATCCTAGTAATCGTTTGGCCTATACTGTGCGTTATCTGTTCTACTGCTTCAATATTAATTGGTTTATTAGCATTACTGGTGATACCACTACTATCGTTAGCTGTACATATACTTGGTGTATTATTTTGGAATGCATATACACCTGGTATGTGTTGCTGAACTGTTGTCACATTATTGTTTGTTTATATTGTTGATACTATGATTCTATATTGTATACTCTAGTCTGCTATTTTTTATACCGAGTTGGTCAATTGTATCGGTTGTGTATGTTTTAACAATATTTGATACCTTTACTATCTGAGTTGAATGATAAGACTTATGTTTCATCCTCTTTTATATCTACATGGATGTTTGCTGGTTCTCTTTTAGGTTGTAAGAATTTCTCGGCTGAATGTCACAAAAAATTATTCTGTGCTGTCGTTTTGAGTTTTGTTTCTTCGAGAGTGCTAACAATAACACACTTTTTTCCTCATAGACTTCTACTGTCACCGGTGAAAGTTTCATAAAGTGCATCATGAGAAAAACAACTGTTACAAGGAACTGTTACTACTAATTCAGTGAAACTGCTCGATATGAACGGTATTACTAGAAAAAAATTCGATTTACTGAAACCAACTGAATCACAATTCCCACATCTTTACGGTTTTCCCAAAGTACACAAACTCAACAACCCGTTACGTCCTGAAATCTCAATGTATAAATCACCAACACAAGCTTGCCTAGTAGCTAGTGGAAACACTGGATCCCATTAAGAAGCTATTGTGTTAGTATTCCTTCAAAGATAAATTTGAAGTAATCAAATGCTTTGATGATATCAATATAAAAAGTACATTTATGTGTTTATTTGACGTTAACTCATTACTCACCAATGTCTTTTTGCTCAAGACAATCAACATTTGATGCGATTATATTTGTGTGCATAATTTTTGAATACCCATTTCTTTGGATTAGTCAAAGAGCTACTACTTTTATGTACAAATAATATTGAATGTACATTCGAAGACGAACATTACCGCTAGGTTGGTGGGGTTACCATGCGAAGTCTTTTGGCCCCCTCTTAGCTGACATATTTATGTCGCACGTAGAAAACTTGGCCGAGAAACTAATTGACCAAGCCCATCTATATCGAAGATGTGTCGACGATATCCTAATTACTTATGATAACTCAAGCCAGTCCACTTCAATTCTAAACCGACTGAATTAAGTACAGGGTAGCATATCCTTGACATGCATAGAAGAGGACAATGACTGCTTGCCTTTCTTAGGCATAATAATTAGTCAGGAGCAGGATGGATCCATGAAACTATTTGTCTACAGAAAACCTACATGAACGGGGCAATATCTGAACTACCATAACTTTTGTCCAGTTCAGTACAAACGAGGATTAGTTAGGTGCTTATTCAGTAGAATTCAACGAATATGCACAGGTGATTCTCTGCAAGACGAAAGAGGAACGTTGACTGAACTGTTGTCGGTAAATAACTATCCATCAAAATTTATTAAGCAGCACAAAATAACCAGATCACCAAAACCAGCTCTTTACTTTGTCCCAGAGAAAGATATCTTTATCAGTCTTCCATACAAAGGTGATTCTCATAGTGCAATCCTTAAGCAGAGACTTAACGCTGCTGTTAGAAAGATTTGCTATGTAGCTTGGGTTCGATTAATAGAAACCACGAAGTCCATATATTCTTCCAAACCCTTGCAGCATGTGAACGACAATACCACATGTCATCGAATCTGTCAATTCAAATGTATGTCTGGTGACACATGCATAGGGAGGACTCATAGACTCATGCAAACAAGAGTCTCGGAACATATTCCACAGTGACTTCAGAAGCGAATTAAATCACCTGAACTCATAAACGATGGTAGCAGACGTCCAAGTTCTTCGATCGCAAAACATCGTCGAGACAGTTCGCAGGGTTGACGTGGCTACTTCCTTTAGACCTGTTCACAAAAGGCGTTGGTGACGGACCCTTAAATTTGTTGAGGCCTTAGCTTTTAGGAAGTTTAAACCACCTGTGTGTCCAATAACAATTTTCCTACCACATTCAATCTCCCTTGGTGAATTCAACAATGAAAACCAAGTTCAGTGTACTATTATTTTCGCTCTATTGATTTTCATTGTTATTCCGCCTTTAATTCAGCCTTCCTACTTGACCTCTTTATTTTCTCACCCCTTATATTCATGAATTTTCATATAAATACCTATGACAGATTCTGACAATTTGCGTCTTATTGTTTTGTCGAAGTCATTAATTAGTCATTGAAGTTCAATGAATTGAGATTTTATCCATTCTAGCACAGTGGGTAGCTGAACCATACTTTAGTAATGTTTACGAATCGAAAATTAGGTAAGCATGATGTCACAAGGTTGTAATGCACTAGTGTTTATAGTAAATCCAGCATGTGTTCGGGATACTAACTAACCTTATATTCCTCAGTATCTGCTTTCGCATGGGTAGAATTAATTTGGATAAGAGCTAGTTATCATTAGATTCGGATATCACACCACTTCATAAAGGTACTGCCTTTTGGTCTTGTCGGTATAAGGAAATATCGGGTAATTATTTTATACCTATGAGACTATCGTGCACTTCAGCATAGATCTCATTTTTATAAATAAACTCATGGGTCATTTTTCTGGTGCCCACCATCTAGTTGCCTTTAAGGATTGCCACCGTTTTGATAATTTCTGTCGTGATGGGTTTATGTTATGTATTGCATACGGAACTGTTAGGCAGTTAAATTCGATCATGTATTGACGTTTGTCTGGTTTCTGTTTGCACTACTTCAACTTACAACAAACGGAACCGATATACCACTCTGAGTTACATATTTCGGTTGTCTGTCTGACATTTATTAACTAGTGTTGTTTTTATAGAACATGGATTTTTTCCCTTCTGAATTTTATTTATTCAGCTTAGCATTCAGAGAAAAAAAATTCTCTCCCAGTTTTTAGCACGTATGCAACAGGATGGTGTTTCAGGGCATTACTACTTTTTCCTTATTATTATGGCTTAAAACCTCTTTTGCAACTCTTACTTTGGTCATTTGCCTGGTATGTGTCCGCTTATCACCTTTCACTTTGAACTAACATAGAAGTTCAACGTGACTGAAATTTTTAGAACTTTCCTTGGAATATTTCGTTTTTTCGTGTACCATCTTATCTGTTTCCATTTATATGAGATTTTTTTGCGTTCTTTTGTTGCATCATGCCTTCGGAAAAGTATGGTTGGTGTTTTTATACAACTCTGTAAGTATCCAAAATTGTTGCACGGTGAAACTTCACTGGTAAAAGTGTGCTGTTTAGTGCACACAATCAATTTTTTATCCATAGACTACCTTAACAGCCTTGCTGCTTCGTTATTGTGAGACGATAGGGCAAACAGGTAACCGAATATATTTTCACGTTGTATTTAATTATATTCAAACGGCATTATGTATAATCTGGAATCATTGCAAAAGTGTAACTGGCTAGTAAATTTATGCTTTATATGCCCAAGAAAAGAGAGGGGAGTTAACGATTACTCTTTCCATTTGGAAACTTCTTACATGTTACTCATTAAATCACTATATTCATTCTGATTTTCTCCCTAATACACAAAATATTAATTGTAGAGTGAATAACAGTCATTTAGTATGTATTTAACTAGGAACTTGTTATGTTTCGATTTGGTATAAACATTGTTTTCCTGTTCATAAATTTCAGTTTTTGGATCCAACCGCCTCCTGCCGTTGTTCGAAATATTATTTTGTCAATTCCTAATCAAGACATTCCTTCAATTCGTAATCAGTATACTATGTGCATTTATCCTCTGTCCTGTTTGGTTTCTAATTCGCATTTTATACGCTGTGATAAAATGTGTATTCTCCTCCTTGTGGGATGCTATTATGTTTCATATTGTATTTAGACTAATACCACGCATACCATGTAAGGAGACATGTTCTGCTAAACGTAATCATAATCCTGACACCGTATTAAATATTTGTTTCCTGGTTAGTTTGCTGAATTACATAAACGTATTTTCTTTCTTATTGTGTTACTATTGTTATTTTATTATTTGCCCTTGGGTTCCTAGTGGAACATAAGGCTGACGCGCCAAGTTTCTGAACCATGTAGCACCACTGACTTGACATTAGTGTTGAAAATCCGGATCTCGTTCACGCTTTGTGCTGATTGCAGTGGATCTCCACAGTGATTTCAGATTGATGAAAGCCCTTCTTGCTTTTCCGATTTTGGTTTTGACATCCTCGTCTGTGCAGCCACCTGTAGTTGGAATGTGGCTGCCTAGGCAGGTAGGTGAAAGAGACAACTTCCTTTAGGTTTCTCCTGTTGATGGTAATTGGTGCTTGCTGTTGTTGGTTGTCTTCTCCAGGTTCACCTGAAGTCCCGTCTTCGCTGTCTCTTCTGTCAACTTGTTGGTTTTTGCCTGTAGATCGAGTTTGAGGTAGAGAGTTGATTGCCATTCTATACTCTGTTCTATGATGATGCGTAGCGTAGCGTTGCAATTTGATCCGGACATGATTTGTTTTTCCTGAAGTCAGCCAGACTGTTCTGGTTGTAATTTTGAATGCGAAGCATTTTCTAGTCTCTCCAGGATGATGCGGCTTAATATTTTGCTTGGTGTTTGTCAGGAGCATGATTCCGCACCAGTTCTTGCTCTCGCAAAGACTTAGGTCTCCTCTCTTTGTAAGTTTCACAAGGTAGCCCTTCTTCCAATTGGCAGGTAACTTTCCTTCCTTCCTTCCTTCCCTCGTTGCAAACTTTCTGCAATAGTGGTGTGAGCATGTCCGTTGTTGTCTTTGTGTCTGTTTTCAGTGCTTCTGGTGGAGTTCCATCTGGTCCTGCTGCTTTCCCGGCTTTCGGGAACTTTATGGCGTTCAGGATTTCTCCTTTTGTCGTAGTGTTTGTGTTCACTGATAGTTCTGTAGCTGAGCTGGTGGTGGTGGTATTTCTGGACGAGTTGCATGTGGTGGTGGTCGATTCGAGAGTTTTTGAAGTTTTCAGTCCATCGTTTCCTTTGTCTCTCCTCTTTGGTAACTAACTTTCCTTGACTATCTTTCATTGCTTTCATCTGTGTTGATCTCTTCTCAGATAGTAAGCTGGTTATTTGATATTAATGTTGTCAGGTCTATGTCTTTCTTACCTGCAGCCTGTTCTACTTCATTTGCGAGTGTGTCGTAGAGGTGTCTTTTGTGTTTGCGCTTACTCTTCTTCACTTCTTTGTCTAGTGTCATGTTTTATCTGTTGTGTTCAGTCCCTCTTATCGTTGTTCATCCCTGCGCTGCGCTGCGCTGTCCTGCCCTGCCCTGCACAGCACTGCACTGCACTGGTTCATCTTCTGCTTCAACATCTTCCTCTCCTTACACTATCAGCTTCCGTGTGTCCCTCGAGATCCATTCCTTGTCTTGTTTATTCTATTCCTTCCTAACATGTTTATGCAGGTTTCTTTCCATACCTCTTGCAAAGAGTTCCAGTGTTCATCCACACAGGTTTCCTCGGAGATGTTACTTGATGTCTTTCATTTTGTCGTGATGACCGACCTGAAGATGTCTTTTGTAGTTTCGTCCTTCACTTTCTGTTCTGGGTGTTGTACTTGAATTGTGGTCTATCACCAGCTTCTTCGAAGGCTTTCAACTTGATTTTGAATGCAGGTCCCGTGCACTGGATAGTGAGTGGTGTGAACCTACATATGCTCCCTTTCTTGATCTTGTGTCCGGTAGACTGTGTCTCCACTTTCTTCACATTGAAACGAAGTCGATCTGATTTTTAGTGTGTCCTGGTGTCTGATGAAATCCATGTCGCTAGGTTTGTGAATATCTTAGTGTTTGTACACACTAACTTCAATCACCAAATCATGGAGGGGGCAGAAGTCTGCAGAATTCCTCATTCTCATTCATTTCACTGAGTGCCTCTCGACCCATGATGAGTTGTCTTTGTGTGTTGGATTCTCATGATTTCTCTTCTTTTTGGGAAAATTATTCTCAGTAAAGCATGTAGCGATCCGTTATGCTGTTATCTCTCTGTTGTTCGAATGACAGCGTAATTGTGCACTCCATTTTTTTTTAATGCAGCTGAGTTGTTGAAATGTTAGAACGATTTTGACACCATCAAAATAATGCAGTACGCAAATGACTAGTCTTCGTAGCCACCTGTTATGCAGGCAAGATATCATTGTGCCTTTCAAAGGTCGAGTGAACCACACAGCAGTTCAACATATTGTGTTCACGGCTATCAAACATGGCTTATAAACATAGAGGAATTGAGAAGACTGGAGATTTTTGCCCACTGCCAACTTAGCCCTGCTGGTATATCTTCGAACCAATGCTTTAGTATCTTAGAAGTTAGTCCTAACTAAAACGAGTTCAAATCTTCATCAGTCAAGATGTTTAGGATATATACGAGACATGCATTCTTACCGACTTTTCGAGTCCACATTATTGGCTAAAGTAGAGTTAGTTTGGTGCAATATTAATGGGATCAGTTCAAGATGAAGCCTGAGACCTGACTGATTGTTTGAGCTTCCGTGTTGATGTCTTCGAGACAACCGAAGCCAATGGTTAGAAACGTGAATGAATGTAGTTTAAAGTTGACACTTATGGTATGTAGACGCTCTCACACCTTGTTTTAATCATCGTCATATATTTTGTTGTCTGCTTCGGCCTCTCTTCTTATTTTACGGTTTTACACGACTTTTGGTGAAAATATTTCTTTGTCTTTTGTGTAGCTACCTTACACGTTAGTATGCTGATGTGAGTTGTAGCCTCGTGGGTCGTTATTCAGTAATATCAGTGTCTGTGTTGATAGGGATGTGTTGTGTTTTGTTTATTCGAGTGAATGAATAGACATCATTATGCCAGAGAACAGTTTATGGTTACCAATTTTTCTTTATTGTGTAACTGCTATTTAACATGAAGTGGGAAGATTCCTTGTGTATAGCCATCAAATTCGAAAGTAACCTTACATTCATAGTATAAATAATAGGAAAAATACTGCATACGATTTTTGAGTCTTCAAAGTAGTACTTGCATCCAACGTTAGTTAATCAGGGAATTTCTACGTTTCAAATTGTTTAAGCATCAAGAAGCAGATGCGTAGTATGCTTTGACATTGTTTGGATCTGTAAAGTAACTAACTATTTTTTCCTGATGGATGCATTTCGGTGAGCACTAAGCGAAGAGAGTGGGGAAGCTTCATTCTTGTTTAATAGCTGATTAATTTATTTGAAAAGCTATAATAATTTAAATTGGTGACAAATAATGCTTACTTTTTTCGTTCATAGTCAAGCCGTATTCACTATCAAAAGTACAATTTTTTTTCGCAAATGAATTATATGTATGTACGTGTTGTTAAGGTTATTTTTTACATTGTTTTGTAACATCCTATATTTCATTTGATAACGTTGTGAGTCATGTTGACAACCCTTTATTTATTTATTGACGTTGGTATAGGCTCGGCCTGAAGACATTTTAATTGTACTTACTGTACAGTTAGAACGCTTAGAGCTGATTTTATGGAAATGTCAGATGGAAAGTGTTGCAAATAAGCCCATGAATGTTTATAAGTAAGAAACGTTTTCCATACTTCTTAAAAGTGATTTCATACCGAATAATTGTTAGTCGTTTCATAATTAGTTTTTTGTTTTATGAAGGTATGTGAGTGTGTTTGTGTCAATGGCCTTACCAATACATCCCGTTTTTATTTACCGAAAGAGATTCAAGATTTATTTTCTCTCGAATAACCGAAGTTTCCCTTAATTATATCGCAGTTTTTTTCCTGCTAATGAATTATCCATTCACTTCTCAAGGACATGAAAGTTAACAATCAAATCATTCTATGTAGTGTGGTAATCGGGTCCATAGAATACCTGTGATGCCGATATATCTCTATAAATTCCCACTAGAGTCTGTCGACCAGGTTTATCAATGTATTCTATATATCTCATTGGAGAAGTCTTTCTTTGACTGGGGCACCGAGTGACACAGGTTCCGATCATCGTAACATCTCTAGTCTCTACAGCGATAAGAATCATCGCTGTAGATACACCTTTCCAATGAGCTGCATCTAGCAGGTAATCTGAACGAACTTTGCTGTCGATCGACTCCTCATTTCGAGTACTAAGATGACATTTATATCAACTTCATCAAATAACTAAAAATGATTGTTTTGAACAAAGAATCCTGCATATCCAGTAGTGTTATTATAGAATTATTGAATGTTACTGTGATCCGCTGTAGTTTTAATGTTAGTTATACTTTCCGAAGGCAAATAAACAGATTAATTGCTATTCGTGAGGAAAAGGATTGGTAGAAACTACAACTAGTGAACGTCAACTATGAGAGTTTGTAGCAAATATTTTCTCTGGTTTGAACGTTGTAGGAGTTTGTTCGCGTGTCCATAGTTGAAATATGTAATATGCTGATTAAAAATTTGACTTAATTATCGTTTTTTGACTAATTGGTTATCTTATCACTTTTCATTGTTTTCGATGAACTATTTTTTACTGATAAATAAATTCAACTGAATGGTAACCTATGTATGCGTCTAACAGTAACTAAAGTCTGTACATCATATTCACTATGTGGTCACTAAGCTAAGCGACACAAGCCGGTTCATTCTGTTCAGTTTTCGTTGTCAGGAGTCAACTGATAGAGAAAGCCTTGGAATAAGGTTTCATGCTTGATATCATTCATCAGTGGTTGTCTCGGTGATTCAAACCTGAATCACTTAGCTATTGAGTAAAGGACCATCGCTAAAAGAAATATATTATTGAATAAAGAGTGGGGTTTAGTTCTTTAGAAGGGGCTTTATGCTAATTGTTGGCTCGTCTGTAGCTATAACTTAATCACTTCATACTAATGCACATCACTTGCGCTTGTCTCCTAAACGCTTCCGTCTTACAATATGGAGGTGCAATGGTGGTTTAAATAAATGGTAGTTAGAACAAATGCTTCATCTGCACTGTGGTCGTCTTCCTTTTTCGTTCTAATTTTTATTGAATTAGTGTAGATTAGATAAACCAATTTGTGTACACCAATTTTACATTCTTCAGATCTCATTTAAAGTAAACAAAAATGTCTGTAAGAGATATTATGGTTAACCTGTAAAAATAGGGTTTTTTGCAATTGTTTCGATTAAAATGGAAATGTTTCCACACTTGTATACATTTCAAAAACACAAAATATTCATTTTATTACCATTACTATGATTATTATTACTGTTTGACATAACGTAAGCAAACCCATTGATTTAGGTGTTTTAAAATTTATTTTACGCCTTACCGGATACTCTTTTGATGCATCACTTGTAGTATTCAATCAATAAGCGATGTGCAGTAGAATCAAAGTAATACTCGTTCTCTGAAAGTGGGAATAATAATAATAACTAGTCCGCATATATTGGTTTCATACTTTTATATCGAACCAATAGATTAATATTATTTGCATTACTGTCACAAGCACTAGGTGTAGCTAGTTAGCTAGGGAAATCCGTGCTTATTTGCATATTTTTCTAAACGGAACTTATTTCAGCGAAGTGATATGTATGTTCGTGTGTTTATTCTTAGAAAAAACCTTTCTCTGCTCTGATTACTTAAAAATCTCAATTCCTTTCCGTTCACCGTTCAGTATCTATGTGCTTATGGTTTCGTTTTTCTTACGTTTTGCCTTCGGTTTCGCTTCGTTTTGTGTTGCTTGTTTCTCAATCGCTTTTTTTTCCTGACTTCTAATGAAATTTAAAAATCGAAAGAACGCTTTTTTTCCTGCATAACTTCATGTAACATAGTGATATCTTCGAAGTACTGAAATATTTTTTTAGGTTATTTCGTTGCAAAAAAATGGAAGTCATTTAGTTGTAGCATATCGGAATATTCGTTTAAAGTGAACACCAAGTCCGTAACTTTGCATGAAGGTGCATGGATGCGTATGCATTTGACGACAGTTTAGTATCTCAGTTGAGACTTAAAAGAAATACTATGAAAAAACTAAATGTAAATTCCAAATGGCAGGGTTTTTCAGCTGAATTAGGATTTGACATAGCCTATAATTATTAGTTAGCAATGAAATAGTTGGTCAATATGGTTGCCACTCTCTGGCTCACGTTCGAGGATATTTTGAGGATTCACCGCTTTTCATCTATGCTCTTCCCTCTGACCGTTCATTTAATTTAAATATCACTTAAAAACCGTTACGCATAAACAATTGCTTTTTATTGGTTGAAAGTCTACTTCCAAGACCAATGAGCCACAACTACATCATATCAAACAGGCAGATAACAGTATCAGCATGGACTTGGCATTACTGCTTGGTGGTCTAAGTTGCTACGCCTACTAACACCACATCATGCGAGAATGGACTAGCACGAAAGATGTCTTATCAGAAGATGAGTGTCGACGATTATGAACTATTTGATAGGTATTATAATTCAAACTCAAAACTTGAAAGTAGAATTCATCATGTACTGATATCATACAGAGAACCACTGAGCACCTGAAAACTATCTCGTCCCAGTTTGGAAGTCCTCAACAGAGCACATTCACAACCCCATCAAGGCATAGGGCCTTCAGATCTCGCCGTGAGCACGTTACTACTCAATCACTACATCAGAATCCAATGGTTCATATTCTTCCACTTCCTTCAGTGTACGTTATAGTGCGACCATCAACCAATGCCATTGATGAGTATTTGGCCTCACACCTGACTTGGTCAACCACGCAGGTCATAGCTTCTCATTGAAACTTTTGGAAATCCATCCAGACGTATGTCACTAATGAGGACTGAATGTAATTCAATTAGTGTTTCGGGAGTATTGATTAACTTCATAGAGATATTGGTTACGGACTGACATGTGATGAACTCCACCTTGAAATCAACCAATCTACGCAAACCCTTCAACTAAATTAAATTTAAAATTGTACTGGAGTCTAACTGATTAGTTCAAATGGTAGAGTTCACAGTTTAGATCTAGTATTCTTGCTTCGTATCTCTGAAGACTTTGGTTTTGCTTTACATCTTAAAGTTACTGAGATGAGCTTTCCTGGCTCGTCTGTATTTTTTGATTCAAAACGGAGTATGGTAAATGCAAGTAGTAACGAAGTGAATGTCATTTCGTTTTATTGGCAGTGCTATCAATTTCATTATTGATATTTTTCAGCAACTTTAGATAATGTCTATGTTATTATTGGTATTTTTATTATTTTTAACCAACTGAGAAATATTCTGTATTTCTTCCAACCCACTTAGCGATTTTCTCGAATCTGTTTCAACATTGCCCCTATCTGCATTATCAGATAACATTATTGCTGATTCTTTGAACACAAAACTCGCTATTGGCTTAGTCTGATAGAGAAAAGTTACGTAAAGTAGGTGAATGTTTCACTAATGTCTTTTTTACTAAAGAATCAACTCAATGTAAAGACTGTTTTATTTTTGTTTCAAGTAACCTTCTGTTCGACTGAGATTTTTTGTAAATGGTGACTGTCGACAAAGGAAAGCGTGGTTCATAGTTAAAAGCGTTTCAACCAATGAACTCATTTGATGGGCTAACGTATGCTACTTCTTAGTAAATTCCACTGTACTGCATCCACTTTATCGCTAGTTTTTCCATCATGTTTTATTGAGAAACGTTATCTAAAATTTCTCTTGTAGCATCCTATACGTTGGCCTTTCGATGCTAAATTTGGTTCACTAAATGATGAACGAAATCCAGATACTTTGAAATCGTCTCAACCAATTTGCCGTAGTAACTGTAAACAGTTTTTATGTGAAATGCAGATAATTTTCAAACGTCTTTAAATGCATAAGGTTAGGTTATTTGTTCGAATCCAGTACGTAGGAAGGATGATATAATATTAGTCAAGTGTGGAATTACATCCCGCTACACTCCACAAATTCTGTAATGCTATATTTATTTAAGTCTTTAGCCTTCATGAACATTGTCAATTAAGTGTAGAAAGTTTGTTCAGCTGTTCTTTAATTAACGCACGCATTATGTCCCCTCGTTATACGTCAAATGCTGTGTGTCTTTCTGTTAACGAAAAAGTATGGTGTATTTTACGGAAATGAAAATAATTCAAATAAGTTAGAGAAGTGGTATAAAGGAGTTAAGAGAAAATTTTGATTATAATACTATTCGAACGAATATTCTGCGGGTTGGCGATTATGTGCATCGAGGATTAACTTCAGGATTCAACTTTCAACTAAGTCTTAGTTTCACTTTACTGACAATTGAAAAAATCAGAGGTTGGAGTTAGAGGTGGTTAGCAGCTGCATTTCATGACAGTTAAAAAGCCGGACGATTCGTATTTCGAAATCGTTCATTTGAACCGTTTAGCTCCAACTCTTACTCGACATAATTTATATCCTTTCATTTGTTTATCTGCTTTAGGCGTGCAAAAGCACTAGGAGTCCAGTCCGATTTCAAATTTTTTAGAAGAATAAAATTATCTGATCGGAATCTCAAGGTAGGTTCAATGTTTTTTAGGAATGTAAAGCTGAAATTACTGAATATGTTGATAATGATGTGGATAAACTTCAGTCTTATCCCTTTGAAACACTTCAGTTAAGAGAAGGTAATGCTATAAATTTTGTGAAAACTATATCCCAGTTCATTATCGTTTTGCTGATTGCTTTTCATTGGTGTATATCACTTGTAGTCCTGGCAAGATATTTACATGTGCTTTAGTAGTTGATTTCACAGGTTATCGTTTCTTTTTCTCCTATTTTACGACGGTAAAACACTTCACATGTCAGTGATATTAAGGAGCTGAATTGATTCGACAACTCATGTGTTCCGTGATTGACTTAGATTCTTCGAGTGACCAGTTGTAATGTCAAGTCTCGAGTTTTCGTGTAATTAAAATTCGTTACTCTGTGTAATTATTAGACCTGTGTGTTATCGTGAATTTGAGCAGAATAAAAGATACAGCAGGATGGTGAAGCCAAAATATAATACTTTTTCACAAATGTTATTTTCGTTTATTTTAGATATCTCAAGATATTGGAGGTTTAAGGTGTTACTCCTGCATTCGAAAATCAGTACCAATGACACAAATGATTCATTCATTACTTTTCATGCTGTGAATCCTATGTAGTTCGTTCCTGTATACCTTTTAACTCCTCTTTATTGGACTTCTCTTGACATTCCTTTTGTTACTTATTCTAAGTCATGATTTCCGTTACTTTTGTGCTTTTAGTGTGTTAGTATAATCCCATTGTAGTGTTTCTCTAGATTTCACGTTATTCTAGTCGATTATCTGTTCACGTGTGTCGACAACAAATTCGACGAAAATTCTCAGTGATGCACACGTATCAAAAAAATGGGAATAGCAGGATTTTCGGATTGAAATAAAGCAGTTACAAGTGGGAAATAGACCAGTTATCTCAGCTATTGATGTCACTCATCGTTAGATATAATCAAGTTGCTTGCACACATTTTAGCCTCCATAATTGGTACCCATCAAGTTTTTTTAAAAATAATCTGATTACCCTGGTTTCAAAAGTAATTCATATTGTAATATCCTTGTTTCATCACTTCAGTTTTATATATTCTGTAAAGGATAACCTCTTAGAGACTAACCTAAATCATATATGGTAATTAGGGGGCGCTGAAAAATTCAACTGAATCGAATCGATCTTCGTACATCATTCACAAAGTCCTACTCGAATGAGTCAGACATCCAATATTTAGGTGCTCTCAATGTGACTAGAGAGCACTGCCTATTGGCGTGATCAGTTCATAATTATTTAAGCCATTCAGTAGAATACAACGGTTATTGGAGTTGATCGGTAAGCAAATAAAGTCTTTATATTTACGAAATTCAGTATGATAGTTCGAATATTATCATAAATAAACTTAATGAAGCCTCAACGTGGTTCTCACTATTGACTACCACCAATCAGAGAACCGATAGAAACCCGAGAGCATAGCACAGCTATTTTATCCTGGTTTAGAACTCACCAAAAATGTACGTGAACGATGGTGGAAAGGATCGAGCCAATAGACCTATCAGTTTCTATTGGTGAATACGTTGCCACTGGGCCGGATTCCAGCGTTCCACATGTTCCTCTTCTTCTTATTTTTAGTCTGTGATGAAAACTTTTAGAAGCAATCAATCCTCCTGAAACACTAATTGAATTACATTCAGTCCTCATTAGTGACATACGTCTGGATGGATTTCCAAAAGTTTCAATGAGAAGCTATGACCTGCGTGGTTGACCAAGTCAGGTGTGAGGCCAAATACTCATCAATGGCATTGGTTGATGGTCGCACTATAACGTACACTGAAGGAAGTGGAAGAATATGAACCATTGGATTCTGATGTAGTGATTGAGTAGTAACGTGCTCACGGCGAGATCTGAAGGCCCTATGCCTTGATGGGGTTGTGAATGTGCTCTGTTGAGGACTTCCAAACTGGGACGAGATAGTTTTCAGGTGCTCAGTGGTTCTCTGTATGATATCAGTTCATGACGAATGCTTCCGTAAACTGAGTACGTTCTCACTATTGACAAATTAAGTAATTGAGTTCATTTTACCTGCAAGTAGGTGAGATCGATATTGCTCTGTGACCTTAGTTTTCACAAGTTTAGGTTGACGGGGTATTTATCAGAAGGCTCAAACCGGATCATTACGTATTCAGAATACTGGATTTAATTATTAAAGTAAGTTATTGTTCGTTATTTTTCATGGCACATATCACTACTATCAGCTCAGTATTTCGGTTCAACTTGACGTCAGCGTAATGGATTATTTACGAATGTTTCAAGAGTTTTTATTTTTTTTCTGCATTAAAAACAGTTTTTCGGAAAGGTTATTAATGTGACAAAAAAATCCATACTTTTGGGCCTTACTGGAAACAATAAATTTACTCGTATGTCTTGTTCTAACATTATTAGGATGTTTGTAGACAATGAATTCACTCAGCGTCACTCATAGATACAGGTTATAATCTTCAGCGTTTGAAATACGTATCGTATCCAATTTTGAAGAACTGAACAAACTGATGCAAATAAACTTTTACAATAAATCCTTGTATAATAAATCTTGACCTTTCATTGAATTCGTAAGTATTATTCATGTCCTAACTATTTATGATTCTTTTTGTTCATTTTTCATATCTTCTAGCTTACGATTGATTTAGGTTCACGGTTGACTAAGTATTTTTATGATATTCGAATTCTACCGCGCTTACATTTGTTAGATCGCTGCGTGGGTGACTGGTGGACAAATCTTCAACTTGATGAAAGTGACTTCCTCGGTCAGTACTTTTTCTCTATAAATAATATCCTTTCTTATGCTAAGAAACTGTAAGGTTGTGAGAAACGAATTCACCACTATTCAGGATATTCGTTATTTTCATGATCGTCTCTTTTTTGCTGGAAACTATTCAATTAGCATTTCGCTTTGTCATCCTTATATAGTTCGGTAATTTCACATTAAGTTATAATCATATTATTATTTGCCCCTTGGGTTCCTAGTGGAACACTGGGATTCAGTAGCACGCCTCCATTCCACTCTCTTCCCTGCAGATTTTCAACCTGGCGCCACGACTCCCCACAAACTTTCATTGCTTCCTCACATCATCTCCGTGTCACCCTCGCCTCAAGCACCCAACTCGTCGTTTCCCCTTCGGATTCCACTCGAGAGTCTGGCCTGGCACGTGATATCCCCAATCGGTCTTCTCAGTGTATGTCCAATCCAATCCAGTCGATTGCATCTCCACTTCCTTCGACATATTTGTTGGGCGATGGGTTTTGCTTCGTTGGTTTGTTGCCAGTCAGCCAACCAGAGTTCCTTGTTGCTTATTCTTTCAGACCATCTGATCTGATCTGACCTGATCTTCAGCATAGAGTGAGCGTATGCAGCAGCTGTTGATGTATATCTGTAGTTTGTTGGAAGTGCTTTTCGTGACGTGCCAAGTTTGTGAAGCATCAGACAGAAGCACTGACTTGGGATTAGTGTTGGAAATCCGGATCTCGTTCACGCTTTGTGCTGATTGCAGTGGATCTCTACAGTGATTTCAGATTGATGAAAGCCCTTCTTGCTTTTCCGATTTTGGTTTTGACATCCTCGTCTGTGCAGCCACCTGTAGTTGGAATGATGCTGCCTAGGCAGGTAGGTGAAAGAGACAACTTCCTTTAGGTTTCTCCTGTTGATGGTAATTGGTGCTTGCTGTTGTTGGTTGTCTTCTCCAGGTTCACCTGAAGTCCCGTCTTCGCTGTCTCTTCTGTCAACTTGTTGGTTTTTGCCTGTAGATCGAGTTTGAGGTAGAGAGTTGATTGCCATTCTATACTCTGTTCTATGATGATGCGTAGCGTAGCGTTGCAATTTGATCCGGACATGATTTGTTTTTCCTGAAGTCAGCCAGACTGTTCTGGTTGTAATTTTGAATGCGAAGCATTTTCTAGTCTCTCCAGGATGATGCGGCTTAATATTTTGCTTGGTGTTTGTCAGGAGCATGATTCCGCACCAGTTCTGCTCTCGCAAAGACTTAGGTCTCCTCTCTTTGTAAGTTTGACAAGGTAGCCCTTCTTCCAATTGGCAGGTAACTTTCCTTCCTTCCTTCCTTCCCTCGTTGCAAACTTTCTGCAATAGTGGTGTGAGCATGTCCGTTGTTGTCTTTGTGTCTGTTTTCAGTGCTTCTGGTGGAGTTCCATCTGGTCCTGCTGCTTTCCCGGCTTTCGGGAACTTTATGGCGTTCAGGATTTCTCCTTTTGTCGTAGTGTTTGTGTTCACTGATAGTTCTGTAGCTGAGCTGGTGGTGGTGGTATTTCTGGACGAGTTGCATGTGGTGGTGGTCGATTCGAGAGTTTTTGAAGTTTTCAGTCCATCGTTTCCTTTGTCTCTCCTCTTTGGTAACTAACTTTCCTTGACTATCTTTCATTGCTTTCATCTGTGTTGATCTCTTCTCAGATAGTAAGCTGGTTATTTGATATTAATGTTGTCAGGTCTATGTCTTTCTTACCTGCAGCCTGTTCTACTTCATTTGCGAGTGTGTCGTAGAGGTGTCTTTTGTGTTTGCGCTTACTCTTCTTCACTTCTTTGTCTAGTGTCATGTTTTATCTGTTGTGTTCAGTCCCTCTTATCGTTGTTCATCCCTGCGCTGCGCTGCGCTGTCCTGCCCTGCCCTGCACAGCACTGCACTGCACTGGTTCATCTTCTGCTTCAACATCTTCCTCTCCTTACACTATCAGCTTCCGTGTGTCCCTCGAGATCCATTCCTTGTCTTGTTTATTCTATTCCTTCCTAACATGTTTATGCAGGTTTCTTTCCACACCTCTTGCAAAGAGTTCCAGTGTTCATCCACACAGGTTTCCTCGGAGATGTTCCTCGATATCTCCCACTTTATCTTTATGGCTGCCGTAAAGATGTCTTTTGTAGTTTCGTCCTTCACTTTCTGTTCTGGGTGTTGTACTTGAATTGTGGTCTATCACCAGCTTCTTCGAAGGCTTTCAACTTGATTTTGAATGCAGGTCCCGTGCACTGGATAGTGAGTGGTGTGAACCTACATATGCTCCCTTTCTTGATCTTGTGTCCGGTAGACTGTGTCTCCACTTTCTTCACATTGAAATGAAGTCGATCTGATTTTTAGTGTGTCCTGGTGTCTGATGAAATCCATGTCGCTAGGTTTGTGAATATCTTAGTGTTTGTACACACTAACTTCAATCACCAAATCATGGAGGGGGCAGAAGTCTGCAGAATTCCTCATTCTCATTCATTTCACTGAGTGCCTCTCGACCCATGATGAGTTGTCTCTCTGTGTTGTCTGCTCCCAGTTTGGCATTGATGTCGCCAACTGGGATGTAGTCTTGTCTAGTACTGATTGCAGTTGTCTGTAGAATTCCTCCTTCTTCTCTCGGTCTGGATTATTTGTAGGTACGTAGCATTGTATGATTGTGACTTCCATTCCTTTTGATTTGAATGTTGCTGTCATGATCCTGATGTTGGAGGAGATTGGTCCCCAGTGAATGAGTGCCTTCGATGCTCTGTGGAACATCATGATAGCCCCGTAAAACTCAGCGTGCTCGTTATTGTCGTCTGGTTGACAATGTCGGAATAGATTATTGACTGTGCAATTGACAGTTTGGAGAGTCCACTTACATTCCTTCTGCTCTCGCAAATTCTTAGCACTTGTATGCTGTATCTTTTCGTCTCCTTTGGAATCTGGGCAGCCTTGCTAGGTTCAAAGATAGTGCGGACATTCTATGTCCCCATGTTTACTTTCGCTTTCATGAACTCATAAATTCATGTTTTGTTCTTTGCATATACCCTGTGAATTTTTTTCGGAAAAAAATGGTACACCTTAATGTAGGGCCAACTACTCTATGCTAATACATCATTTTGTCCATCGCTTAGTCTTTCCTATTCATTAAAAATGCGAGCAAACGAAATTCTCGTCCCATCGTCTGTAATATAAAAAGTGTCATTGACGTAAGAAAAGTTTCAAGAAAAGGATAGGGTGGTTTGCACTTTCTGCTTATCCACTAAATTGTTGGCGATGAACCTGTCGCAGATTGTGATTATTATTAGTATAGTAATCCAAGTAAAATTTTTTGTAACTTAGAAGTTGATCAATGCATATCTGGCTGTCACACAAATATTTTACCTAATATATTGTCGAGAGAAAACTATCTTGTTCAACACATTTATGGAAGCTAATTCCTGTCGTTATTTTGTTCATAGGGTTATGTAATTATCTATTAAAAAATACATTTGGTGAACAGTTTTTCGATTGCGTTACAGAAAAGAATGTGGCAATACCACTACAGGTACGACGTTATTTTGTAAATCTTTACATTTGGGTTCAGCATTTTTGTGCGCTTTGATAATGTCATGTTTGTTTATATTACTTCTCCTTTTTATATTTTATGTATTTTACGGACAAGGGAATAGTGGGCTTGCATGTACTCTTTGGTTTCGAAATAAGACCAGGATAAATAAACATACTGTCTAAAAGTATACTATTGCACTTTTATAAAATGAATAATGGAGTTTCCGGATTTCGTTAGCATTGTGTAGTTTAATGGTTATGATTTACGTAGATCGTGTTAAGCTTTTTAGTTTTTGGGTTTCATGATGATGTCTTATTGGGGCCTTGAAAAAAGGATCTAAGTGATTACCTTTATGAATGCCTCTGTTCTGTCCCAGTTGATTGTCAGTATTGATTTCGTCTTGCTTACCATTTGTGTTAACTCAAACAGGGTTCAACACGTAGCTCTTTCTAACAAACCTCATTTGTGAACCTCTTAGTTTAACTTTTTTCTGTCTTTGACGTACAACTGTGCTACACCAGACTTATTACGTAGTTTGATATTGCAATCTGAAAATTCTGTGGCATCAGGACTCATCATTTACACTTATTTTGATCATCGCTGCTACCCTATTCTGTTAGTTTGGCCTTACTTTTCGTTATTATCCATCTTTCATATATTGGTGAGAAGATTTCTTCCTTAAATTAACATCAAACTGTTTTCCGCCTTCTCAATATTGGTAGGAGGGGTTATAAAATATCTACCCTAAAAGATAACTCATTTGGCTGAAAATGTTTTCAGCTGTTGGTATGGGTTTGAGAACACTCGTCTCTGACACTGCTGTCCGACATTTTCTTCCTTAACACAGTGATCAAGTTTTTACATAACAATGATTCAATAAGCTAAGCTGCTTGAAACGATTGTTCGGCGCTTACCATGTCGAAAAAGTTAATATAATAGTGTTAAGACCAAAACCAGTTAACTTGAAGTAGTGAATACATTGCGCTACGGTATCACAGAGTTACGTGGTGCTGCAGGAGTGTCTACAGTCGTCACCCATTTTGTTAAGACCATCCCACTGATCCAACTTCTTTCTCAGTTACCTCAAGAAGTAACTGTCCACAGTGTGGGCAGCAGAGATGCATCAACGCCTTCATATCTCAATCGGCACTCAGTTCACCTCCGACTAGCTTCTATCTTCCAAATCTTTCGTAAGATTTCTTGGTTAACAACTCTACATCGTATGCCATTCCTCCCAGCTCTCCTAAATCGCGATTCGAGTTCACAAAACAGCATCTCTAGTCTCCTAAAATCACTCTCCACACCACATATCGAAGGTGACGATGTTCACACTTTTCTTCAAGTTGAACAAGAAGCCTCGCTAGCATAAACTCCGGCATTTCGAGTCATGGACTTATGCTGTGATTGTGAAACAGGTACACAAGACCGCATTTTGGTTATTTACTTAATCTCACTTGGTCAGCGTGATGAATTTGCACAAATCGCTCTTACTTTATTTTTGCAGATTTCTCCACTATTCCTCATTGTCTTGGCTCTTCAGGTAGAACATAAAGTTTCGTTAGACAAAATGTTCACCACTGGCTGAATTGAATCCAAGTTGACATATTTAGGCTGCACGGCTGAGTGATGCAATGAGGACTTAAAGGAATTGTGATACACACCACCATCGCCTTGTGAACTCTGCCTACGTAACCGATAACTGCAAGTCAGAGAGGAAGAAACTGAGTTTTATCGAAAATGCTCCAGCTTTCTACTGTATGTCAAAAGCCAAGAAATGATTATCACAGCAGGTGATTTCAATGGGAAGGGTACATAAGAGAGAAAGACAGGTGGTATCTTCGGAATCGGAGACGAACGAACCCGGCTGCAACTGCGCTCAGAAAACCCCCAACTTCTGGCCAGCAGAATTCCTCAACATAGGGAGAGACTTAGTCGGAATTGTGTTCGCTGATCTTAACTCAGTGGTGAACAAACGGAGACTACTTCGCTAACAGTTATCTCTCAAAAGAGTTAGTGGGAGATTGTCCACCCTTATAGAGCATGTTCTTGGACAGTGATCACACGCTGGTCCGAGCACGCTTTTATCTGCATCTGAATAAGAGATAGCCTTGAGTACAGATCAGCGACTAAGACGCCAAGGGTGTGTCCAACGTCGAATTGGTTAGCGAGTCATCGGAACGCAGCGATGTTACTCATGCTGGAGAAGCTTGGCTGCACCTCGAGTCCGCTGTCATTTGAAAGATTAAGATGACGACTGGCTTTCAGAATATGGATCTCTACAACTTCAATTCAACAAATGGGTGTGCGTGAACGTCCTCTTGTGGATTTGAAGCTCATTGATGAGTGGAAGCAGCTCAAATGTAGACTGACAAAGAATCAACCCAGCCACTGTGAGTAGTTGTGGACAACGAAGACTAAAGAGATTGGTGATAAGTAATAGTAGAGATTTGTTTAGGGTTATTCTAGAAATTGAGATGAAAAAGTTAGTGCTGGTTTAGACTACAGGAGAGGAAGATGAATGGATACTTCATTTTCAGAGGAGACTAGTGGAACGGTAGGCAGAACACTGAGGAGCAGTCCAACTGGTCCTCAGTTACTCTTTGGTCACCATCTGTGTACAGCATTGAGATATAGTCTCGAAATCTTGCAGAAATTCAGAAGGCTATCAGTAAACTGAAGAAATGAAGAGCAGCAGACCCTGATAGGTTTGCACCAGAAGTAGTAAAGGATGGTGGCTGAGTATTGTTGATCATACTGATTGAAATGCTTACTGGTTCATGATGATCAGGTGTGATCCCGTCTGACTGGTCTTGATCGTTGCTTGTCCTAGTTTTCAATAAGGGAAGGAAATCCTCGTGTGATGACGACAGGGGAATCGATTTAATGAACAGTGCCTAAAAGATTCCAGTTTTCATAACCCTGGAACCCTTTCGTACCTAACCGTCTGATGTGTCAACCAGATCCATATTAACTGCTTGATCTTGGAACACAGGACCACTTACTGGCACCTGATGGCATTTATACTTTTTGAACTGAAAGTGCTTTCGACTTTGTTCATAGAGAGATCTAACTACAGTGTCTACTTCTGAAAAAGGTGTCAGCCGGTTACATTAATTTCCCTGATAACCTGTGTATACAGTATCGTGATCCTAATCGTCATACGAAATTGCGTCCCGTGAATGTGCATAGTTTTTTATTTTGTCATTTCCATTTTTCATCTTTCATCATGTTGACTCATATTGCGATGTGCTAATGTGTTCGTTCAGTGGCTACTTAAACCATCACACCATAATGCTAGGCTTCTTTTTATATTGATTAACTGTTTCCGCAACCCCTGATGCCATCAGTACCATGGAGGTCGCTTTGTCAACAATGTAGAAGTTTGTGCCGTTTTCACCGCCCACATATCTTTGCTAGGTTTCTTTGCTTACCATCGATTTTCTTCATCGTTTTCTTATTCGGCAATTAATTCAACACTGTCTTCACCTTCTGACTTTGTTGCCGGTGGTAATGATTCTTGCTTACAAAATTAGCAACATTGTTGTTGTCAAGCCAATTTTATAGGTAATCTTGTTTGATAAAACTCCTTACTAGCTAACATTGTACAATCCTGGGTTGTTTTTATTTGCTTTGTTTCTGTGGTACATAATTAGTAATCAGGGTCGGTTAATCACTTGGCCGCTTCGCTGAATCTGTTTGATTCTCCAACAGAATACCTTAGAATATGGTTACTAATTCTCACAGTCTTGTAAGTACAGATAAAGCATTTATCCCTACGACGATATGGTTTCATGAACTTAAGCAATAGGCTTTTGAGCAATGGGTTTCGAATTCAAATTCTGCACCACCTAATTTGGCCTACACAAACATATAGTAACCTAAGTCCTTATACAATTTGTGCAGCTCATAGTCTAATCCATAAGCCTCCGCTACGTTGAGTTACATTATTTATTTATTCTGCGTAGACAGGGTAATCGTAAACTTATTTTTAATTGACATTAATAGGCCATATATTCTGCTTTATATATCATGTGTTTATATAATTTTTTTTCTCTCACTGAGAAGCAGACCTCAGATAAATTGTTCAAACTCGTTAGTCATCTGTGAGCTAAGCATTACTTTTCAGTTAAACCCTTTGTGTGTACACTTTTACTTCACGTGACTGGTTTCACCGTCCTACTTCAGCCTATACTTATCTGAGATTTCTTCACCAACCAATGTTATCAGTATCTAGTCGATAACTGCTCATGATGAACTATGCAACAATATAAGTCGGTGCGAAGAATTCGTTTGAGGTGTGTGCAAGTTATTTCATTGGAAGCAAAATGACGATTAACTTATCATAAACAAATTTTCGATAAAAATTGACGCACCATGATAACTTTTTTATCTGGGTAACTTTTTGCGCAAAATTACTACCCATGGTTATACCAACAGTTGGAATTTTCTATTGACACATTTACGAATAGATATAATATAAAGAGTCTTTCCCTATTGTTCGTCATTCTGTTTGCTCAAAACAGACTTCCATATGCTTGACAGTTGTGTTGTGTCACCTTTATTCCAAGTGTTTAGGATGACATGTATAAGTATCGATTCTGTGATTAATCTTTCTTTCTGCTTGTTTTTATTGACTCTCAATCGATGGTATGTTTTTCTACTCATTCATGAGCTGCTGTCGACTATTCTTCAGTATTACTTGTTACTAAGTACCTGAACGTCATTGTGTTAGAGGGATTAGTTCTTCGCAATCACTCCTTGTTTTTTTCCCCTTTTGGTTACAGGTTCGTGATGCTAGTTTTGATCAGCAATTCCGGGAAGTGGTACTGTCGAATCTGGACCAACAAATTTGTGGTTCTTCAGTACGTTCTTTGTATGGGAATGAAGTTCAGTCAACCATTGTTGAAAGTATGGACCTATTGAAAGAAGAATCTTGTAATCTTATAGAATTAGAAAATGAGGATGAATCTCTTTCTTTAAAAAGCGATATTCTTGGATCTCTAAGTGAAAGACTCTCACAACGTTGCACTGTTATCGCTGCCTCAAGCAAGAATAACAATAATAATGATTATTATTATGACGGGAGCAGTAATAATGAAGTTTTAAATTCAGACTATCTAGTTACTTCTCATAATTCAGTCATAGAACCACCACATGATCCAAATAATGTTGTCATATCACCTATCATACACAGTGATATTCATTCGGCTAGATTTGAACTCAATCTGATGAAACCTTCAATCATTGATCCAATGTCTCTTATTCATGTTGATTTGCAGGATTTCCCCCTGTCGGTTTTTGCACCAAGAACAGCTAGTAATATACCTTGTCCTTTAAAGTAAGCTCACAGTTCATTTATCTCTTGAAGATTAGCAATTCGTGAGTGCATTTCTCCCACTCTTTCTCGCAATATTGGAGATATGTTCTTTTGAATTGGATTAATTTTGTGTTCAAAATTGTATTTCAACTTAAAACTCTCCCCGTAATTCATTTTTGAGAATTTTGGGGATTGATTGATTGTATGTGTTAACCACCGGCATAAACGTTAAAGCTCACACACATTCATTAGATGATGAAACTTATAATTAGAGTCTACAATTTAGACTACTTACTTTCCTCATTTAATTTCATTTCGTTACAGCAAAAGCAATATTTTCATTAATTCATGCAGCATGTTGTATTAACTTAACAATTCGAAGGTTAGCGATGAAACGATATTAACTGTGGTTAATAATGTCTACCTTTAAGCGACTTATTATGCAGGAAGTTACAGCGAGAAAGTACGCATGTAAGTAAATACAAAGCTACAGCTGTCGCTAAATACACTGCAGAAAACGAGATATATTTTATTTGTTAGCAGTGTATTGGAATGGAATGTGGTATCATGAAACGCTTCTTCTTGTACTGTCATATCCAAGACTTAATGAAATGATACCACATCTTCATCTTGCTACTTTTAGTTTTCTGTCAATGTGGTCTTACCTCAGGTAACTCCACACGTGAGGTAGGCAGTCGTTCGCCATCTACAACACATATCGAGGTCACATCAGTCAGTTTAAACTAAGAGCTTCGTTGACTGACTTCCTTGCCTAGCACTCTGCGCCAAAGCCCACCAGTGTGCATAGGGTTAGTTTTTCATACGTGACCAGTGCTGTGAAGGCATCTTTGGTCATAAATTTATGACTTTCACTTTCAACGGCTTTGTCTCACAGTCGTACAATTCAAAAAAGTTAACTACATACATAGTCGATTATCTCATTGACACGCCATAAGTTGCGAGACTTGCAAATATCACATGATCCTTTAATATCTGAGCTGAGAATTTGTCAGTATCCAACCTATTCGGGCTGGTGCAACTTTCTAAGTGTTGTATATTGGACGATATATATATACGACAGTTTTTCTGTTAACTTTTCTGGCGGATGAAATTAATTTGCGGTATTCGTATCCAGTTGGTTATGCGCTTCACATATTCTATGTTCCTAAGTGGCATAGTAATGGTGTTGTGTTCGAATCACATTGCATATGGACACCATCATACTAGAACAAACTCATCACGGACTGGTTTTTCAAGGTATTTTATTTGAAAAGAAGAGAAAAAATAGTCATGATAAGTTGTTACGATAGTCAGCGATAATAAAGAAAGACGATATTTTTAAGTATCTTTCTCAGTAGTAAGGTTGAAATGAGGATTACCGCAGTATGTTAGGTGTTGTAGCCAACCGGTAAACGTATCCTTGAAGGACTATTGGTTCTTCAAATTCTACATCTTCGTTTCTCGACAGTCTTCCTCTACATGTTTTAAAACCATAAACTGGTTTATTGAAGGGTCTAGTTTAAGATCATATATTGTGATAGATGAAGGCTGGTATTTAAATGTAGAAATCGAAATCCCCACGACAACCATGAGCAGATTTTCCAGTAGGCGATGGGCCACACCTATGTTATGAAGGCTAATGATACTAATTGACTGTCAAGAGCTTGGTAAATGGAACTGGGTTCGGACTCGTGACGTGTTTTTCTGAGCATTAGAATCCGTCTTTTTCTGTCACTTCAAACTCATTGTCCGGAACAAATACAACACAAATCTAAACATTGATCGACTTTCTTCTCTTCTGCTAGTGAGTTTGAGTATTGCACTCAGTAACACTTTCTATTGCGTCGATAAACTAGCTGTAAGCCACAGAGTTAACCAGCTGCTAACTTTGGAAAGACGTGCGGCTCACGATGGCCGAAGTGCAGCTGATATATATTCAACAAAAGGATATTCATCTTATGCGGCAGATTATTTTCATCTGAATGATGGACAATACTTTTGATAGATTATTAATCGTGAAATTCCAATAAATTTATTTGTATGAACGATTTCCTCGTGTTTCTCAAAAAAACTACAGATCATGCCCAGAGAAAAAAGTGTCTTGTGGTAAATGTACTTGCAACAACAACGAATTGGGTCATTGCTCGTGTATTTCATTGACAAAAGCTACTTTAGAATTCAGATTTCGTAAAGGTTTAACTGAAACATGGTCCAGTCAGTCATTTGAATTGAGTAACGTAGAATCCAATCCACTTATCCTATCGACTGTATCAAAATGTAATCATTATTCAGTCATTAAATCTTTATTGTCTACGTGGACAATGTCTACCTCAGAATATACTGATGGTGATGTCGATCATGCTTCTCCTAAAAATGCTGGTGATGTTGAAGATTGCGAAATGTATCATAACATGCGTTCATTATTAAGCTTCAATTATGGAGACAGTCAATGGTGTTATTGCTGTCATCATTGGTCTACATGGAACGATTTCGATATCTCTGGTGTCAACAGATGCTCTTTGGCTTTTAGAAATATTATTCAACATATAGCCCGAGTTTATCATCCATGTGTCATCATATTGCTCTTGCATTCACGGTAAGTTGCTTACTTTTTCTTCCTATTATCAACTTGTGTACATATTATTCCCCTTTAAATTGTGGTTTTTAATGAGTGTCTTCAAGAGACAGATTGTTTACGATTTTTTCCATTTTGAAGGCTAATATTGCCTACTTGTAGGTATATTAGCTATTTTTCTATGAATCGTAAGGGATGTTGAGATTATTTCGATCAAGGTGCAGAAATATGGATTAGTATTTATTATAGTGTAATAATTTGTATATCCGTTTATTTATCTTTTGGAAGTAAAACAGTAGTATCAACCCCCTTCAAACCACCAGTTGAATCTCTCTCCAGTCACATCAGTCACTTGCTATGTCTGACATAATGTTCCGAGTACGGAAGAGGAAGAAAGACGTTGAGTTGTCAATATGCTTCTATACTATCTGCCAAGAAATGTATTCAAAATTGTAGTTTACCATCCATCTCTTGGATGATGGTTGAAGTAGTAGTACTCTTGATAGAGTATCAGAGTGTCAGTATCATGAATTCTGTGAGGTTAGCTTTCCTAAATGCTATCTGTAAAGTGACGAAAGTCAGTACTTCGTTATCTTAAATAGTGTAGCTCAAGTGCGATATTAGTACTACAGACACATTTACTGTTTCTAATCAACATAACCTTTATGACGTTGTAATTCCAATCCATCGGATATTTCAGCTGTTCCCACTTTATGTATTCGGTTGCTTAACTAGTGATATTTTCTTTTCTCTCACAAACCGATTGCCAGAACACTGACTAGCTTCTTGTAATGAGTGCTGCGTACACCGGGCTTGGCCCTTGGCATTTCTTACATCCTTGAGAAAATTACCGTGGATTACAAGATTCTTCACCTTTGAAAATTTTCTCACCTTTTCATCTAATGCTTTCACTCTCTGAAATTAACTCCCAGCCTTTAGAGCAAGTTGTATTGAGTTCATAGTAAAAGAAAAAGTTCCGAGTGATACCACTTATTCCCTCTGCAGATTCTGTATTCTTCGCAACGAAAGCTTGATTTGATATTGTCTAATCATTCTATACGATATGTAACTCCTAAGCAGTCAATATATATCATAATTATTAGTTAAGTACCTAAGATGCTTTAAAAATGTTATACAAATACATTGTCTCAGAAGTAATAATCGGATGGATGGCGATATAAATAAAGGGTGTATTTATAAATCACAACTAAAGTTTTATTATTGTTCATTTTTTCTCCGTTCAGACGGATACTTATTAAATTATTCATTGTACATTCCACGATGTGATATACACATATTTAATTCAGCCTCTCTTTTTATGAATACGTCATCTTGAGAAATTAGTCATGTGAATGTTTTCATGATTATTATTTCTCTTTTTCCTAGATTGGTCCTGGAATGTTTGACTAAAACATAATTCACTGGTAATCTTTAACTTTGTCTATTACCTAACGACTAGAATACCAAATCGGACATCAAATCTCTCGCCAAAACTCTGGAACCTTTAGCTCGGGACGCAATCGAAAAACTGTTCACCAAATGTATTTTTTAATAGATAATTACATAACCCTATGAACAAAATAACGACAGGAATTAGCTTCCATAAATGTGTTGAACAAGATAGTTTTCTCTCGACAATATATTAGGTAAAATATTTGTGTGACAGCCAGATATGCATTGATCAACTTCTAAGTTACAAAAAATTTTTACTTGGATTACTATACTAATAATAATCACAATCTGCGACAGGTTCATCGCCAACAATTTAGTGGATAAGCAGAAAGTGCAAACCACCCTATCCTTTTCTTGAAACTTTTCTTACGTCAATGACACTTTTTATATTACAGACGATGGGACGAGAATTTCGTTTGCTCGCATTTTTAATGAATAGGAAAGACTAAGCGATGGACAAAATGATGTATTAGCATAGAGTAGTTGGCCCTACATTAAGGTGTACCATTTTTTTCCGAAAAAAATTCACAGGGTATATGCAAAGAACAAAACATGAATTTATGAGTAGAAATCCTATTAACAACTTCTTCCTTGACACAATAGGTGGGCTTGCATATCACAATTACCTAACGAGCTGTGCTGGCGAAACGCTTGTCCCCTCCAGATTCTACCATGGTATAAAGCTTTGCTGCATAGTGGTAAGAAGAAAATCAGTTGCTGTGGTAGTGTAAAATGCTACACTATGATAGTGGGTCGAAAGGAGAAGTCATCCTGCTACTAGCTGGAATTAGGTGTGACGGAATTAAGGTGAATAGCTTCCATATCCAGAAGTACCATGCTCATGCTGCCCAGTCAGCTAACTGTTTGGCAAATCAGACAGCAAGCATCGCTCGCCAGGACTCTGGAATCTCCAGCCAGGGGTTTATATTGCGTCTTCGAAATACGTATACTGGACCTGAGTATACTTACTAAATTGACCTCACCTGGCTATAGTGGTGAATCTTCAAAATTCACCTTTGAGTACCTGGAGATCCAGTGTTTAGCTCTCGTGCACTCGCTGGTGTAGTCACAGGATTGAGCTGTAAGGTGGAATGTGGGCTTCTCGACTGGATACCAGTAATCAGCCGTCTACATGCTGTTCGACTGAATGGATCTGTAAGAACTACGAAGGATAGTGAGACCAACCGATGTCTATTCATGATCTCTGCTTACGCATTGACCAAACGCAGTTTGGATGATGCAAAGGCTGAGTTCCATGAGAATCTGTCAACTTCCCCGCACTAAGCAAAAGGTTCAGATAAAGTCATGATGGTAGGTGACTTTCACGCTCAAGTAGGGAAGCTGGGTCAGTTGGAGAGGCACCGTAGAGGTTTTCACGAAATCCCATGCCAATGAATCGACAACGGTGATCGTCCGTTGCAATTTCGCTCCGACAATCACTTGCCTCTGCCCACCACTAACTTTAAGCATAAGGAGAGACACTGTCTCACATGGCGTCCGTCGATATGAAACCAACGATGGACACAGGCAGATCATATTCTTATAACCCATCGTTGAAGAGGTTCGGTGGACGATCGCCACTGTTTCTGGCGTACTACCAGTTTGGACTCGGATCATGCACTAATACGGGTTCGTGTATGTCTGTGCCTCACTGGTCGCAGGAAGTAGTCGATGGTAAAGCTTGTCTATGGTTGATTGGAAGATGAGAATATCAAGTACGCATTTTGGGAGGAGATAGCTAAGCATCTATCGGAACATGGTACTGATGCTCATTCTGAGTAAACCTGGCGTGATATCACGTCAGCTGTAGAAACAGTGGTAAGGACGCCCGAAGGTTAGCTAACGTCATTGCATTTCCGAATAGATTGATGCGAGAAGATTGATTCCAGCTGATTTTGACCACAATGAAGAGCGAAAGCAACTTAAACGACAATTGACAAAGTCTCCGCAATGATCGTGAGCAGTGGTAGGTGGTGAGAGCGAGAGAGATGGAGATAGAGAAGTCATCAGAGGTAGGTAACACTCGACAACTATATAAGCTTATTAAGGATACCGGCAGGAAGAAGACAATAGTGAGTGAAATCATCACCGAAAAGGATGGTACGCTGTAAACCTTCTAGAACAGGCGGTTAGAACTTTGGGTAGGACACTTTGAAGCACAGTTCAATTGGTCCTCAGCAACGCTTTAGTTGGCAAACATCCAGCCTGAACTTGAATTGGACATAGGTGTTAGTCCTCCAACTCTCCACGGAGTTGAGAAAGCTGTATCGAACTTGAAACGATACAAAGCTGCAGAGGACCTGACAGTTTGCCACCTGAAGTCTCCAGGTGGCTGATTATATTGACGCAGGTAGCGTATGGAAACCAGAGGTAGTGCCATAAAATGTGGGTTATCTAGAGTGATCGGTAGTTTACGATGCCCATGTCAAACAAAGAAAGTTGTACACAATTCTTTTGAATCCATAATGATGGTTTGAACTTTTGAATCGTTAGTGCTTGGTTCAGCCTTGGATCTGGATAGGCTCTTTCTAAGTATATCTGATGCATTATATCCCTTGAATTCGAGGCTCAACAGTAAAGAAATTTTTGGAGTAGTCTGCACACGTTCTGTGACGTTTTTCGACTTTGGATTCTTATCTATAAATTTCAGTGGGTATCCGTTTTTCATCAGGATTTCTCTCAGGTTTTCTAGTTCATCATGAATGGTAACCCCTGAGCATACTCTTTGTATTCTTAAGGACAGTGAATTCATCAAATTCCTCTTCCTGCATAAGGGCACACAGCTTTAGAAATTGTTAGACTGTCTACTACAAGTGGGCCTTTTGTAAATAGATCTCTGGAATGAACTGTAATCTTTTCTTTGAAGTTGGACGTCAAATGAGACGTTCAAATGGAGTTTATTGATATTTTCGACAGGTTCTGGCACACTGGCATACTTACCGGCGGCCGACACTTGACATATTTCTTCACCTGAAAGCGGCATTTGACTCCTTCGACCGTGAGTTGTTATGGCAGTCTCTGATTGTGAAGGCAATACCGAGCAAGTATGTAATGCCTATCAAAGCTCTATGCTCTAACTCACGTAGGCGTGTCAAGGGTTATAGGAAGTTGTCACATGAATTGATGACAACTAGTGATGCCCACTGTCACGGTTCCTATTTAACTTCGTTATAGGCGTACTCATGAACATAACCTTTGGTACGTCTGACTTCACAGAGATCGATCTACTGCCTGGTGGCCAACTAGGTGCCTTGGAGCATGCAGACGACATTGTCCTGCTGGATGAAGACGCTGACAAAATCCAGGGTCTTCTGGACGCGTTGACCAGAAATCTGTGTATGTTTGGTATGCGTTTCACATCTGTCAAATGTAAGATGATGCTCCAGGACTGGTCTGCTGCAAGTAATCCCAGTTTACTTATAGGGAGTAGAGTGGTGGAATGTGTCGACCACTTCACTGACTTGAGTTGTGGAGTTGCATCAGTCCGAACGTGCTATTTGCTGGCAAAATCTCAGCTCGAATACAAAAGGCCTGTTCGGCATTTGACAACTTGCGTCTTCTGTGGCGCCGACTGGCGAGATATCCGACTATCTATCAAAATACGAGTATATTACACTGCAGTCCGTTCTGTCCTGTTATACGACTGTGAGGAATGGCCTTTAAAAGTAGAAGACATGAAGCGATTACAAGGACTTGATCACAAATGTCTTTGTAGCATTCCTCGCGTTTGGTGGGATCACCGTGTGAGCAATGCTGAAGTCAGGCGAAGGGTACTAGACAAAGCAACAAGCAAGTCGATTGATGAGGTTGTGAATCCTAGTCGACTGAGATGGCTCGGACATGCACTGTGCATGCCGATCCACCGCCTACTTCAACGTGCCACTCTATGGGAAAGTTGGATTAAATTGGAAGAGGGTTCAGGGTGTCCATATCAAGCCCTGGCACCAGTCGATGAAGTCCCTAACTGTTGATCTGAGTTGTGTTGGGAGATGTTTACTGCTTGGTTGGGATCCCCTAGAAGATAGGAACCAGTGGTTGAGTACTCTTCGTGACATGGCTGAAAATCGGTTACATTGGCGCGGATGTGTTCACTCCTTGAAATCTTCTAAAGCTAGAATATTCACACCTGATGTTATCGTCAAATTGTTTATTGTCTCACCCCACTTTATCTACTTTTATATCAATATGTAAATATCTCTCCTTTTCTGTCGTCCTGTTCTTAGTGTACTACTGTGAAGTGTGGCAACTAGAACGGATCCATTTGTGTGCGACGTTCCGTATTGTTTCTGTAAATTAATCTGGTAGATGGAAATTGCGTATGAAGTTCATGTTTTGTGATTCATATATTTCGGACATGGTCGCGCTAACAGTTTCACGAAACAGATCTGACCAGTCGGTTGATGCAATTTTGGTTACTTACGTTCATAGTAACAGTGTCAGCGCCACATCGTCTCAATTGTATTTTATTTTTGAGGAATAGGATTTAAGTATTTGTAATAGTGGCATAGAACAGTAGTAATCAATGGTAATAACTTTTTAGTTGCATGTACTTTTCTTGACTTCATAAAGTATCTCATATGTATATTTCACCTGTTTGCCTGTACAGTGAGAAATCATCACAGTAGACTTCAAGAAATATATTGCCAGCCAGACTGGGTGTTTTTGCTTAGGTTGAATTAAATCTTACATATCCCAGCAGTTTAACTTGTAGTTGGAATTTACTATATGTAATTTTAGTATCTCTTTTTGTCAACCGTCTAATTTTAAATAGCGATCGTGAAAATTGTTCTCTGGATACCAATCATCCGTCCATTCACAAACTTGTCCGTCAAATCACCTTGCCTAAGAAACAGATGAAATTATTAAAGAAGATTTATGCTGAAGAAAAGATTATCATGAGTGATTTAACCGGTCATCTTGATTCTTTATCTCATAAGTCAGATGAACAAATGAGTTGTTTGCGTAAAAACATGGAAACTGATGTCAATAGTATGTCATTAGATTCTGTGAATTGTGCGTTGGCCGATCGTTTGCCATCCTTTAAGCAACAACAGCAGCAGCGTTCACAGCAACTGTTGAAGTCACCAGTCTCCAGTGGTGGATTTGAACGACATTATGATTCAAGAGCTAAGCATAGATGGTACTCTAATATGAATGTGAATACTAGTAATACTAATTTCAGTGATGTTATGAATCAGTCGTTACATTTTCAGCCGAATTGGTCAAATAATTATTCACATGAAGGAATTTGTGACTTCTCACACTCTCAACTACGTTTCAATACCATATATGCGATAGCAGCTACAAGTAATCAAAATAATATTCACGATCCTATTACGACTGCTAACGCTAATGTACTTGATATTAATAAGTATCGAAATCCAAGATGTTATTGGTCTGGTCTAGACTTTTCAACTAATAAGTACAATAAAAATGATAACAACAATGATAGAGATTATTCAGGTGGTACACCAACGCCTAGTTTATACGGTACAGAGGATGCAGCCACAACGGATGATCTAGACGATACTGAAGATATTATATCAATGTCTAGTAGTGTAGGTCATTCGGAATTGGTCGATAATCTGCTTACTGTAAGTACACGCGAACAAAAAATGACCAATGATATGAGCAATGCAGCTGTCCATCCACAACGTTTGCCTTTAGCTATACCAGAATTGCTGACAATTTCAGCAACCTCTGCAGGCAGTGGCGATACTCAAGTAAGTACTGTTTGATTTCACTTATAGTATGTGTATGCTAGTTTGTTGTTGAGCTTTTTTCCGTCGTCCAAGTGAATCTGCGATTAGTCAACTATAAAGCCGAAACTGTGGCTTTCACTGCTGGTTGAATTCTTTTTAGATAACAGTTTACTAAATTGTATTTTAGTTGTCTGTTGTATGTTTTCACCATTATCGCGTATGCATAAATTTCGGAGGCTTACTGTTTTTGAAAAGTAGAATAATTTTTGCATCGTCCAGTAAAATCAACAGAGATATTATGTCACTTTTAATGGTTAGATGGAAACATTTTAGACTTTGGTTTCGTGTATTCTTCAGGTGGAATGTACAACTATTTTAGGTAGTGCACTAAGCTAGTTAATCAGCGCTATACTTGGTAATATGCTTTTTTACTTATCTGCTTTTAGAAGTTTCAAAAGGTATGCAGAAAGGTCAGTAGTCTGTTTGTTCAAGGAAACTATTTTGAAGTATCTTACGCCACCAAGCGAAATCATATCACTTCCTTTTTCTATCTTTGTTGATGAACTTTATAATATTGTCTGCCAATTCGCTCTTTTATGGTACAGGTTTCAAGAGTGCATCACGATTTACCGTCTGGTGATTTCGTAATGAAAAAGCGTTGATAAGTCGATATCAAAATTTGTCAAACTTCTTACTTGGATTCATTATATCTATCGATACGATGATAAGCACTAGGAATTTTTATCTTCCCTTTTGTAGTTGTGTTCATAATGCAACTCAGCGTCGTGGTATACGTGTATTTTCTAAATTGAGTCATGCTTAACGTTTGAACCCCAGTACTATTGTTTTATGACTTTAACCACAGCGTCAGAATTAAGAATTCGAACCCAGAACATATAGTTTGCAAGTAAAGTTACCAAGCTAGTCAGCCACATGTCGGTGTGAAGAGAAGCTTAGACGCAAAAAATAATTTAAGTAATTATGATGTTATTTTGTAAACATATTTTTAGAAAAATAAATATGCCTAACGGTATATTTTGTATATCGTACATTTGATTCCCTGTAAAAGAATAATGTCTTGCTTGCAATTTTTCACCATTTTTTTTAGAGCCAGCTGGAGAGTGAGATTATCGATGACTTCTCTGGATGTGGTATGACTTTACCACCAATATCAAGTCCAAGACGGTCATTGGCCTTCCATATTGATCCAGTGCCAGAGATTCAGTCAGGTCAATCAACTTTCAGTGGGCATTCTTCACACGACTTACTTCAACTTCCTTCTGATGAATGTACTTGTAGTTTACCTTCTAATTCACATGTATTCTTTGATTCTAGTCCATCTGAAACTGTGATTATTAATAGAGTTTTCAATCCTAGCAGTTCAAGTAATCATTTAGCACTTCCTGACAATCTATGCATGCAGTTAACTGAAGAAGTTGATTCCAGTGCCGAGTTGAGTGCTTATCATGATAATACTGTGCAAGCTAATATAAATGGTGTTGATAGTATAAAGTGTGGATTGATGGAATCATATGATCAAAATAAAAATTTTGAAACGGATAATGTTGTAGATGAAGACTGTGCAGACACTGAACAGAGCGCTTTGAAGACTGTAGTCACATTGTTCTAAATTGAAAGGTAATCCCATTTTGCGTCTCTTCGCCTTACCTCTTACATCTGAAACGCTAGTGGGATGGTTTTATAGAGTCCTTGTGTACTATATGAATCTCGGCAACATATTCATAAATTACTTTCTGAACATCATTTATAAGGTTTGTGCTATACCCTCTTCTGTGATGGAGTGTCAACTACGGTTTCGATACTCGGTGCTGACTGAAGGCGAAATGAAAATCTGGGCCGTGGCAGGATTTGAACTAGGGACTTCAGGGTTACGTGTGCGGTGCTCTACCCACTAATTTACGAGACCTTGCTGATTAGCGTTTCATCACCTTGTTCGCTTTTCAATTTAATATAATCTCATTAAATCAAGGAAGCCGCATAAATAGACTAGGTGATGTACTACTATGAAAATCCAATATTTAGTGAATATTCAACATTTAAAGTAAGTCATACAATAACATTCACATACATATAGGAGTTTAAACCATAGAGTTGCAGTTTTAAGCCCCCCCCCTCTCTTCCCTGCTGACTCACTTTACTGTCGGTGCTCGTGCTGTATCACCAGATGTCAGGTACTGTTTCTGGTCTGCAGTCAACTGTACAATTCAGCTTCATACATACACAGAGATCTAATTTTTCAAAATTTATGATTGTTATCACTGTTTTGACTAGGAACTGGTGTACACAGAAGTAGGATCAGGTAACTGTTGAAAATATTCAACTTTCATATTGTAACTACTACCATGTATTCTTAATCATCTCTTATCTTCTTTCTGTAGGTACTGTTAAGAAGTTGCTTGCTTCTTCAGTGCACATGTTCACAATATGGTATGTGAAGGAAAAATCCACTGTTCATCTCTGCTGCTTTTGCTACTGACCACTAACATCATGATTATTTTCATTCAAGTTAAACATTTTCTTTGGTGCAAAACACAGGGAACCGATCTGCGTTAAAACCTTTTTATCCTTCCTTGTATAATTTTTTTCTCCTCTGAAGCTTTCTGGTACCATAACTCAATAAGGTATTAATCAGTATTAATATACTATACGATCAACTTGGCACCAAGTTATGCACCTTTGGATAAATATAATATATTTTGTTATTGATTTGTTTAACTCTATATACGTCTTTCCGTATCAGCTTGCTTTACTTTGCTTTGCTTTTCCCTTTTCATTGCTTTGTTCCTGTTTTAGTTTAGTGCAGTGATCTGGCCTCATTCCTTCCAAAACACTTCATTCGCTTTGCTACGTCTTGATTTCTATGTAGTTCCTCGTATAGTCTGCATTATACATATGTTGTTGGATTTCAAATTGCTCTTATTTTTCGTTTGGCATGGGTTTTTTCCTGGGATCATTCTCTCGCCATGTATATCTGTCTGGCAAAAGCTTTTAAAAGTACGCCGGTGTTTATTTCTTCAAGTCTGCAGTTTATTACACTCTACGGTTTGTTTGCTTTAATTTTTATTTGTCTTTATCATGTTTCCTTACAAAATTACTTATCTCATATGTCTTTTGAAAAGTGTTATTTAAATGTTTAAATATTTCCCTCTTGTTTGTTGTATATAAATTTTTAGGTTTGTGTGATGCCTTCTTAGTTTTCTACCACTTCGATTCTTGTGCTGATGGTAATACTTCCATAAATAACTGAGATATTTCGAGTTTGACTATGTACATCCATGTGATTCTCATTTTATTTTCCTTCTAGGAAGAGATTACTGGTGATGAATTTTATCCACATAATCCTATTTACTACGATTTATCATCTTAATATCATGGATATTTTTCCTGTCACACTAACTATTTCTGTTAGGCTTTATTTTATTTACTCATTTCCTGAGAAGCATGTATCGTTTTCAGTCAAAGTGGAATAATAGACAGCTTTCTGTATAGTTGAAAAAGGTTAGTTGTTCATCGAAATATCACTTATCATACTTTTATTTTGTTTTTTCCAAATTTTTACGTTGAAGATTTTATGTTTGCATGTTTTATTTGCACTTATTTGTTTTTGCATGTTTAACCGAAATATAAAGGTACGCATTATCACATCAGTTTGTTCTGATGGGTTTACTATTACGAAGAGTTGGCTTTACAGCATGAGTGCTAAATTTTGACTTTCATCTTTTATGAATATTTGAGTAGTTCATAGATGTAATAATTTCTGCTTTACAGAGATAAATATGTTTTTAAGATAAACTGTTCGTTTGGAAGTTTGTAGTTTACTGATTTCACGGTAGTATTCATCCCGGCGTCCAGTAAATAATACTGTGTATTATATCGATAAGGTAATTCGATATTGAAATTTGCTCTGCCTAAGTGTCCTGGTCGTATCTTTCATGTTACAATTTACCAGCAAATGGGAATGTTAATCGGCATCCCACATGGATTACCATCTTGATCGGATACTGAGAAGTTTGACAGCTTCACTTGAATTTACACTGAAGAGATGGGACATAATTTAGCAGCAGTCTACACGTTTACAATTATCTTTCTTCGGTTCTTTGCAGTTTACCACTTCGTTTTTATGCTTACACATGCCTGCAAATTGCGTATTTTTACTGTAGAATGAATCTAGAATTCTATGAGCTTTCAAAATTTGATATGTCTTCGGTTTCGTTCTCTTTATTTATTTTAAAAAGAAACTTTTGGGAAGTTCAAACACAATGAGTTACGACCAGTAATCTTACGTTTCAAAGCAGCATCAAATGATACTGGTGATATTTTTCCTCGTAACATTTAAATTGTACTCTCATACATCAAATGGTAGTGCATTTGATATTCATCTTCCGAAAAGCTGAAAGTATGCTAGACTAACATGGCACAGACGGCTGTTTCTCGTAAGCCCACAGGGAGATACAGACATCATAGATGGGTTTCTCGAGGTGACAGTAATAGATGTCCGTTTGTGAGCATCACAACGTTACTTCTTTAGATTTCTTACCTCAGTCCCATTTCAAAAATGGACTTGTCTCAATTATGGCTTGTTTTACTCTGAACAATTCCATTTCATAATTGCAGAACCTTATGAAAATTTATTGAAAGTATATTATTCGTTCAGATTGTTTTTAATTCTACTTTTGTTCATCTGTCTACCAAAACGAACTCCGTTTTGAGATAAAAGTCTATTGAAGAGTTTACCAATATGTAGATGGTTACTTAATGATGCTTATGACTTGTTGTTTCTGTATTGGGTCAAAATTCTCCACCTGTGATAGCAGATGGGCTTCTTTACAGATACCTCGATACTGCCTGAATACTCACTGTGTTATAGTTTGCTTCGGGGTTAGGAGTGCGATCCGAGCTGCAGATTTCATCCTATTTAGGACTTATCAGCTGTGTGTGCCTGAGCAATGTTCCCATTGAAACTGGAAAAAGTCACCAATCACTTCAAACGCCAAATCGTTATCCTCTAGGCTTCACTGGTAACAGGAAGTTACAGGTATCAATAAATAACATCTGATATCGGTTGGATAAGAGTTGAGCCTCTTGGCTCAGTGATGTATTGGGTAACGCTTTGGCATTTGAAGTGAAGGATTTGAGTTTCGATAGGGACACCACTCACTGGGGTACAGGTACACTCGGCTCATGAGTCCTAGATAAGACGAAACGATCATCCTAGATTTCACTGCTAACCACCAAGTAGACTAAAACCCGTAAATGAAATAAATTTCAAATGACTAATCAAATAGTAAATCCAACTGTGACATTTCGAGTTTGCATATTTGTGATTTTCTATTTGTACCTAAGTTCACTTCATCGGATGAAATGCGCGTCATGGATTCCACCATTAAAGTGTTTTTATGTCTTTTAGTGTTTTCCATGAAACTGAGGTAGATATTAGTTCTTATTAGATTTGAATTGGAGTACCAGTTGTAAGAACAATGCACACTGCGTTGCTTATAAATCCAGGTGAAGTGTTTTGAATGGGATAAAAGCTTATCTGCCTTTGCACTACTAGCTTGTGTAAATTAGCCACAAGGTTCATTTAAACAGATATTAAAGCATTCATGTTATCAGTGGAAACTAGAAATACTGCCTAGAGATTTTGTAAATAATACTGTATCACTGTGTGCCATATCAAATAAAAGGAATCTAATATGGAATTTAGTTCTTTTCTTATACAAATTAAAAGTGAACGATAAAAGCCTCGTTTTGTGACCTTTTTGCTTGCTTCATACTCTCAACACGTTTTTTTCTGTTGGATAGTATACGAGTTTCGAAATAATTAAGGGTGAACAGTTGAAGCACTAAAGAACTAAATTTCTATCCTATAAATTCTGACAAGTATCGATTTAAAAATTGTTTGATCACAGATAAATAATTTAAAATAAGTAAACTAAGCAAATTTTGCAACTGTCTATAACCACATAGTGCTAAAATTGTAGAGAAAAGTCGTCAATTACCTCATTCAAAACACAAAGATCAGTTCAGTTCTTGATAACCTGAAACAGTGATATATCAGTTTACTTAAATCAACTTTCTATCTACTCTTACATCAGACAACCCCATTCGTTCCTATTCACATAAAACTTTTTTGGCGATCCTAGATGTGCTTAGACAATAACTGTGCACAGTCATCATACGTTTATTCATGTTCTCATGCAGCGGACATCCGGTATAAATTTAGGTCATATGGTCAACTGATAAATGAGGATTATATATATATATATATATATATATATATATATATATATATATATATATATCAAGCTGACTCATTTGCATATTTATTGAGTTGATCAGCTTCTAGAAATACTAAAGTCAGAAACAAAACGAATAGTTTCTTTCCTGAAAAGTATTTTTTTCATAAGAACTGAATAAAAACGTGAAGATAAGACGAAGTTAATTATTTCGACTTACAAGAAAAATAATTGCTGAGCTTGGTTTGGTACCTGGAAAAGAAACAAATTGAAAAAATTTCCTTTGTGGCTCATAGTTTCGGCTTACACATGCATTTTAAATCTGCTTGTATTAGCTATTTGTAGGCTGTTCTTCATAAGATAAGATAACTAGGTTCTCCGGCATATTTGTCTGTAAAATATGCTTTTGACTTTTCGCGTATTCGCCTTTCTAAAGGTACTTCTAAAAACTTACCGACGTACTGTTCACTAAAATTAGGAGACAGTCAACAGTGTTTATGATTCTTGCAAGGATTCGAGTTTCCACGAACGTACAACGCGCATTTGGAGTTTTATTTCTATGCCTTAAACAGTCAGTCACCTGGTATCTTCAAAGCCCCATACCTTCTTACTTATTAATGCTGCAGGAAGTTAAAACGTGAATTTCGAGAAAGTGGCTTTCATGATACACTTAAGATGTAAACTTGAAAACCCTTCCTAATGGACGCTGAAAATAAATTTCAGCTTAACAATTCCGTGACTTACACAAATTAAATAGACTTTGGATTTTTTATCACATAATCTATTGCCATAATGGAATAACACCGGGTTAATACTTATTAGATCTCAGGGACTGATTAAAATGGACAAGCTTATTCACTTTTGAAGCAGTTGTACACAGATGTCTTACTATGACTACAAGTTGATACAAGTGAAATCCATCAGGGACTTAGTAAGTCAATTTCTACACGCTTGCCAATCCAAAGAACAGTATTTCCTGCATCTCTACATCTAAATTTCTCCACGCAAGGTGTTGTTCGTCGAAGCACCAAAGATAAGGTCGCATTTTGGCAACATCCATATGTGTATATAGTTTTAACTGCACCTGTGCAACTAAGTACACAGGCGTTGCCAGTAGGATACTGTGAAGACGCACTCACAAACCTTCAAGGATATGGTTGTCGAAAACGGAATCCAGATCAACTAATAGTTCCCTTCTGGAACGTATTGTTCTGTCAAGCCACGTAACATCTCCATATACTCATTCGATGTGGTGTGTAAGAACAGACCAAGCCATTCAAAGAGATTTTAATTTTGTCTTCTTTGTACTGTAAATTTTTCCAAGGAAGACACTTCTACACCTCCGCTAAATATTGAGTCGATTGGTGTTATGGGAATTTCACTATCGATTACATGGGTTTCTGTTTTTTGCCTATCTTCTGCGTCTTTGATAGGAAATACATGTGCGATTACGGCCATTAAGCATAGAATCGTAAATCCTCTTTCGCTTCATTACACTTTCAAATGGTATGTGACTTGTCGTTTCATTACCATAGTTTGAACCTGTTCAAACCGAATTTCAGTTTCAGAA